GATGCTTTAAATAGATATTTATGCCAAATCAAATAAAAATGCGCAGATTATATCCAAAGACAGAGTATTGTAAAACATCAGCATTATAACGTCAAACACAATACATTGCAGAGGACTTCAATTCTGATGAAGCACGTAGTCTCGCAACTGTGACAGTCAGCAGATAAACACTTGAAGGAAGACCGCATCTCTGCAAAATGATGGTCACCCGCTGTACGAGCTTGACTTCGTGGTGGCTGTTTTAATCAGATGCAGTCGGCAGACGAGAGCTACAGTATCCTTATAATAGTTATGCATTATCGTCATCCCTCACCGTTGTGGAGTGTCTATGCAAATGCTTTGCAATATCCTCACAATATCCTCGCAAAATTTACGTTGTACTGAACGTTTGAACCTGGGCCAGTGAAAACAAGACTTACAAAGCGAATTTTTCACCTAAGAAAAAAAAGCGCCGCGGTATGATAGAAGTCAGCCCTTGCTCATGATTGAAAAAAATCTCCCGGAAGATGAGATCTGCAGCCGAGCGACATGCTTGTGAGGTATCGAGCGTTGAACACAAGGACATAGAATATACATTAAAACCATCGAGGTATGAGTGTCGAACACAAGTACATAAAATATACATTAAAACCGTTGAAAAGCAACTGCGCGGGTGCGCAAGGAACGAAAGAGCAGAAACGTCCAAATCGGCATACAATGTACCCCGTTCTACATGCCATAGGCGTAGCTCTGATAAGGATCATTCAATGACCCGGCAACACCGACCGTGCCAAAAGGGCTCACGTTAGCATATCCAGCAACGCCCGTATAGCCAGTGGCTTGGGTATGAGGGGGTGTCAGGCTCGTGCTATGAGGAGAGGTGCCTTGCAAGACATATCCGTCGATCGAACGCGCCTGAACACCGTGCATTTGGGGACCGAGGCGAGAATGGCCGTAGGAGCCTTGCGCTTGGATACCATACAAGCCTCCCTGGGCATAGACATCAGCAACACTGGTAGGGTGCATTCCCTGGGGGATGTACCGGGCCCCTGCATTGTGGTGACCGTGACCATGATAACCGGGGTTGCCACCGTAATGGCCAGAGTTGCCCATGAGCATCATGCCATAAGGGGCATGATAGCTGAAGTTCTCGACGTTGGCCTGTTCCCGCTGCAACACGGTTTGGATCGTAAGGAGTGTTGCGGATTAAGGGAAGGACTGGGCGAATGCTTTTGAGGAGGAGCATACGCTGCGCAGGATCGGCATAGTCTAGCGCGGTCTACAAGAATGTCCAGCCCAAGCGACAAATGCACAAAAGAAAAATGGTACCTGCACACAATAGTTGCCATACGAGTCGCGAAGTAGTTCTCCAAGCGGGAGCGGTTGAGTAGCTCTTCAATCGAAATTTTCCTGGTACTGTGTTCGGCCACACAAGATGCACCAGTCCCAGTCGGCATGAAAACGTCCATCAAGATTTAAAAAAATGCTCACTTTTGAACGAGCGCCAACGCGTTATAAGTGATACGCTCACAGCTGGATGCGCTGGTGGTCCGAAGCATGGTCAATGCAACGCTGCAGAACCCAGCATCCATGGGGGTGGGTAGCGACCTGCCCAATCAGATGTGGCGCGATGATAAGTCAGCTCGCTCGTTCAAGCATCACTCACCTTTGATAACCTCTTCTCGAGCGAGGGAACCCACATAGAACGCATAACTGGTGGAATCAATAAGATATTTTTATTGATTGGGGTCCGGGGCGCTGATAGGTCAATGTTCGGGTTGATCGTAGTGCAGCACCAAGAAGGATGTTTCTGTGATTGATGGCGGGAAGAAAGGGTGTTGTCGATGGTCGCTTGCGTCTAGAACTCGAACTCAACATCCACTGGCAAGTCTTTCAAACTCCGATTTATTTACTGTCTATGATACTAAGTCGAGATCACCAATCGTGACTCGTTGTCACACGGGAGAAGCACTGAGAAGCAACGAAGTTTTTAGAATGAATATGAAACGCTAAGATATGATGAAGGAACAGCTAGAATCTCCCTACGACGTACAGAAGGCTAATATGCATCGTTCGCGGTCCGTTAGCCATTAATGCGTTGCTCCAATACAGGAGTCGTTCCTCGTCACCGAATCAGGCCAGGACCGAAACTGCTATCGTCAACGGAAGTATGAGGCCCCGCTCCAACAACGAGCGCCAGCACGCATCCAATCCTTGCAGACAAAGATAGTCCGAATTCAGCAGTAAATACACCTGCCAGAAATCCGAGGATGGAAAATCCCAAACTGCAGTGGTCCCCGTGAGTAATGAGACATTTTGATCCAAGTTTTAATTACCTCGTCAGGTACAAAAAACTCGGTATACTTGCGATGATAGCAAGACTGGCCATCTTCTCCTGTAGATAATACACCTGTCAAGTTGATAACGTCAGGCCCGTGTTACGGAAAATGAAATCGTTCGAACCGCAAAGTCAAGGGATCTTAACCTGTGACCAAAGTGTTGTGCTATTGCGCACCCGATAATACAGTAGAAACTGAGAACGAAGGAGATAGAGCACATCGTTTTCGTGGTAAGTTGCGTGCCCAAACCTGGGACAGCAAGGATGCTGGCGTTGACGGCCATGATGACACTTGCCTGTCAGAGCAGACGAAGTCATAGTAAGCATGTTCATTTAGGTCCGCGACAGAGCACTTACCACGGTGGTTTGAGCTTTAGCCTGGGCACTGAAATTGTCAGTAAAACTCCTTATGTCCACCACATTCACGAGACCATCAACGTAAATCGTTTTAAGGCGTCTAAGCATCATCAATGGAATCCAAAGCATGGCGGCTGCAGCGCCAGCGATCAAGGGAGAATCTTCGAGGTCTCTGCGTTTTTCGGCCAGTGAGTGCATTCGTATCAGGCGAGCTTCGGGTTGGCCATAATGGTTCAGGTATTCGTGATGACCTGTTTTGATCGCTTGATTCAATGACGTATGGTATGAGAAAACGGGATCGTACGGAGCATATGCAATATTTTGCCTCGCGAAAGATAAGTTTTCTGATTGCCAGCTACCTTAAAGCTCACGCACCACATATTGCAACACCTGGTCCCTTCATGGTCCCATCAGGTTCTGCAAGTTCCTCTGTGTCAGTCATCAATTTGATAATATTAATGTGGGTTGAACGGTGAAGATAAAGGTACGTGCCAGCAATGATCAGCTCATCGGTCATTTCCTTCATCTGGTCCAGAGTCCAGAATATTGAAGCCGCTGTTGACTGTTCAATGGCCAATGCTTCTGTTTGTTGTTGAGGTACTTTCGATCGGGCTCTATAACGCTAAATAACTCACCTACGCGATACCAGTTCAGCTGAATTCGCAAAGCTCTTACTTCGGAGAGGGGTATTGTGATTTCGTGAGGAAAATATTCGGCATGTTTCCTACTCAATCAGTAAGAAACGTTCCGTGTCAGTATAACAATCGCTTACCAAAATTGAGCCTCCAGTTCGAGTCCTGTACAATCAAGTCTAAGAATCAATGGACAAAAAAGGGACGTACTTTTATGATTCCAGTGCGATGCCATAGATTCCTGGAAAAGAAGGTAGCCATTCACTGGCTCCACCCAGGTAATGATATGATTTTCTGGGACGACGTAATAGTACGGATAGACTTCCTTCTCTTGCACTACGATCGGCTCCACGACTAGCAAATATCCCTTTCCGTTTAGCTTGGCTCTTGACGCTCTGACCCAGGACTCAAGCCTCCGGAGCCGTTCCTCTGAACAAGTCCTCAAGTTCATTTCGGCGAATGTTTTCTTTATTAGAACAAAGTGAGCGTGTAAATTCAAATACTAGCCCGCACTCACCATTCCCGCATTGTAGTTGTATACGGCTCCTGACGGGTGAACCAGCTCGGTCCAACCCCCGCGCATCTCGGACCTGTTGATGCCGCGGTTAGATCAACATCGTCAGTAACAAAGGTTACCAACTGAGGCAATTCGATCTGCATCACGTCGATGTCATAGTTGCGCTGTAGAGAATCCCTATGTCATTGTGTGAGTACTCCGTGTTCGTCCTGTAATATTGACGACACTCACGGTGACCGTGCCATTTCGGTGTACCGCCCGAGTTGTGTAGGCCAGATAGGAATACTGCAATCGAGCAGCTGCGACATCTATCAAACAATTCTTTTAGCTGGGGTCTCGCTAGACAAATAGCTTTAGAGCTCGCGGTTGAACAAAGTACGTACCGTCACCGTCGTGGCCATCGTTCGTTCAACATTCACACGATGATAGTGAGGTATTGATATTTTTATATTTCACGCCACGCACGATTCTGATCATAATACCTCCGCTCGGAACAACCCTGAAACCAGGGTCCATGGATATAATTAGCGAAGGCAGTTGGAGTGATCATGAGGGATATAGGATATAGTAGGTGACATATAGCAAGATCATTATGGTACTGTGCTAGTATGTATGCAGGCCTATGGAAAAATCAGACCGATTGTGATCTTGCGCGGAATCTGATATGTGCTAAATTACTGTACAATTGTTGTAGCGCTGAAATGTGGGGGGATTTGAAGATCTATGCTACAAGCTGGATATCTCATGATGGATGATGGATATATGGGATGTGTCAGGCCCTGCTATATGCGTAAACGCCTAAGGCGTGACAATCATCCCCGAGTCCGAATCATTATAGCTATGTACATAGATGGCGTGTGTGAATCATGGTTGTGCTAATGAAATTCGCGTGACGTACCCGAAGCATTGCTCTCGCTTTATTCACAGCATGGATGAACGTTATCTTTAACGTCACGACCGGACGGCGCGTGGGCGGGACGGCGACCGATTGAACGGGACGCTGTATATCTCGGGTAAGCCATCGGTGAGAAGTTCCTGACAGACTCACCGAATCGAACCACAGATCAACTTGCGTCTGATAGAAATCGTTAGTTACTGTCGCTGATTACAGTCGTTACTTACCAAAACTTTCCTGCCTTTCAGTGGCAGCGATCCTCTACAGGCCGCGTGGTTTGTGCGGGACATCTGTGTTATGATATGTTACGATGCGGGGTTTGACGGTTCGACAGGGGCTATTTGCCGTAAGTAATGCAAATGGTAGTTGTCGTGTATTGGCGTGGGTAAGGCGGGTGATCAATTGTCTATAAGCGGAACTTCAATTCTGCCCAGGTTAATTTCTAACTCCGAATGTATCTGACTGTTTGCCGAGGTTTGCCGGACGGGAATACCAGCCAGCCGTACTTTGGGCCGTACTGTTCCGCCGATCAGTGACGTAGTTAGCTAAATAAATATTGTTTAAGTGCTGGAGCGCACTCACCCATGGCATGATGCGAATTTGAACCTCTTGTGATCGTATCTCAATACCATGCAGTGTTTGACTGCGCTGCCAATTTCGAGCTCTGTGCGATGTGTGCTCTTCAAGCTTCATAGTCGGCCAATAAACGTTTAAACTTGTTTCCAGAAGACGAGCCAAAATGCATGGGATTACGGCTTTCTGGGCATACAGGACAGCTCCAAAGATTGTTATACATGGATTTAGTACAAGATGGCATACGAAAAAAGCGGCGCCGTACGTCCTATTTACTTGCGCGAGAATGATGACATGGGCAAGTCCCACGCGACTCTCAGAGACTTCGGGGAACTAAAGCCGTTGCTATTGGGAAGCGCGCCAAACTGATCAGAGGGGATTGGCTGAACAACGATAGGCCGAACGTCTTCCAGGACCATTCGCCTGTCACCAGTAGTGTCAGAGATAGTGCTTTTCGCAAGTCGCGACTTTGCAGCGATCTGAAGAACATTAGAACTCCTAAATGTAGATCATGATGAGCTAGGTAAAACAGTGCACATATGAAATTTACGTTATGAAGGGGAGACTCCTCACGGCCTCCGAGAACGTTGGATACATGTGTGGGTGCTCGTACATATGGTCTAGAGCCGCCATGATAATGGCATTCATCGGCGCTGGTTCCAGGATATTAGCGCTGGCGTCGATATCGATGTTCACCTCGACCTCGGCCTCAGCTTCGTTTCCGACCTCGGCTTCGCTCATGATCTTCCTCTTCTTTAATTCATCCTTCACCATGAGAAGTAGAATATGGTAAACCTGACATATTGATGCAAATTTCGTTAGTTCGATACAAAAGGGTAAGGGGAAGAAAGACTTGCGAAAGTCATTAAATTTCCAGCCAGGTGTTGGGCTAAACAATTGAACCTTGACAGAACCTCTTCTGGAAAAAGGTCGCCGATTCTTCCATTGGAATTTCCATCCGATAACCCGTCGACAGGGTACAAAAGGGACCCCCACAGAATTTCTCGAAATACCTGGTGACTTATGAGGTCCGAAATTGCTTGCTGGATCTGGAAAACAAAAACGCTTGAGGTCAAATTATGCTAGTTGGTCTGCAGTCTCTTACCTGAGAGGATTGGCCCGAGTTAAGAGCCAGAACGAAGGAGATAGCCTTCTCGATCGTCTTGGTACCGGCAAAGTCGGGGTGCGCTGACATCGCACCTTTCAGGATTTTTCCTAGGTCCGATTTGGCACTGGAGAACGACTTAACCAGCTGCTCAAATTAGTTCCTAGGAGGAAGCGAAAGCAAGGACAAGGGAAAACATACACTTAAGCGAAGCACAGGCCATCCAGCAGACACGGTTTCGGTCTCTGAAATCCTCGCGATCACTGATCAAACTGTAAGATAGCGACACATAACGAAACACCCAAAATGCAAGACACCGACCTGGGTGGGACTCCATGTCCTCGTAGGTCTTGTGAGTCATGTTTAAACTAGTGAGAAAACAAATCGTTATCAGACGTCGCATGCTTGTCGCAGAAATCCGAAATGGGTTTCCGGAAGCTCCGGTCCACAACCCGCCTATGAGCAAGCACCTTGTTAGCGTGATTATTCGATTCCAGGGCGTCCTCCTCATGTAACGAAGTATTTGTGAGCGGTTGTTCTTGTCCACGCCGGTATTGGTGGAGTCTCTCCATTCCAGGCTGGGATACATGGTGTGTTGCTGCTCACCGAAGGCTAGCTCGAGTTGTGTTTCATTTGTGTCCTCTGGAATGAGATACTCGTCAACGGCGCTTGCAGAATAGCCAGTGGAGTGGTCGTAGAAGTTGAAGTCACTGTATGCAAGATCAGTGTAATCCAAACATGGCGCAGACGTGCCAATGACAGGCATTTCAGCAGCATGTTGAAGGACCGGATCAGCGAGACCGAAGTGCTTGAGGGGTGGATGTCCCGATGAAAATGGCATAGATGCGCTAAAGGAGGCTGTCTCCACAGCACACGAATCAGGGACAACGAGATGCTCGGGAGGTGGATATCCGAATGGAAACGGAGCATGATGGAATTGTACCGATGCGTTCAACTCTGGAAGCTATCAATGTGACGATGAAGACATGTATGATTACAACTAAATAACAAAACTCACCAACCACGAAGGAAGCGCTAAGCCTCTGACACCTGGTCTGCAACAGGTAGAATTGATTGATCGAACGTAGGCACCGCTCTCCAACTGATTTCGCAATTGAATAAGCGAACTGTCTGGGGAGGCGAAGCTCTCACCGTTGTCGCGAATAAATTGTGGATATGGTGCATATCCCCCGCGCCGGGGACAACTAGCGTTCCAACCTGTTGAAGTACATGAATCCAAGGCTGATCATTCTCGAATACTTTGTCACACTACGAACGAATCAATACGATGAGAGAATTATTTGATTTGAGGAGACAAACTCACATAGATGGGGTAGATGTGAGTGTAGTCGGCCAAGTATCCGATGAGAACGAATTCTGCCCCCGTAAAAGTGACAAACGGATGCTAAAATCGCAGGTTAAAAGGAAACAACGGCTGCAGCGCTGATGGACGGCGACGAACCACTTCGTTCTAGAGGGAAAGATTCAGCGGATGATTTGTAGTATAGAGCTTACTTACAGTGAGTTGTATGAGGCGAAGAACGGAATTCCGTTGTGGCATGTATAGCCACACATTAGACATTGACGGAACACTGTCCATGATTAGGGTAGCAGGCAAGCGAATTGGCAACAAACGAAGACCAACCATGTATTATAAAGACTGGCCATGCATTATCAATGGCCGGAAATCAAAGATGGTCACAAGCGAATAGCTAAGAATGCATGGTAGGCAGGGGCGGTGGGCGAGGCGGTGGGCAGGAATGGTGGGCAGACGTGATGGACAGTCATGAGTAATGAAAATTGTGCCATCGAGTAATGTAACACATACTACTTCACATTAAGGCCGACGAGGAATTCAAATCGCGCCCATCGACTGGCGTCAGTTGCTGTGATGTAACATTAATTTTCGTAATCAAAATCGAGGGTGCAGTCCATGAACATCTCATCTAGCGCCTCGATAATCGATTCCGTGCTCGCATTCCTTTCTGGCCCCAAAAAGCACGGCTCCTCGACACCAAGGTAATCACCATCTTCATCCTGTTCATCCTGCTCCCCGTCAGGTGGTTGGGCGATTCCCGTTGAGTTGTCTTCGATACATTCATCTTGCACCTGTGCGCTTGTCTGACCAGCATGCTGTGGTGCGGAGTTACGAGCTTCTGAGACCCCCACACTATGCGAGTAAACGTGCCCTACCCCGAGGCCAAAATGAAACCTCATGAGGGCGTCACGATCAACAAAACTAATAGAGTTGTAAAATCAGTAGACATGGCCGAAAGAGGACAGGATAACTCACCTATTAACGTAGTACTCTTGCCAATCGTGTTTATCTCCCGCTACGGGAGAAATCCCATCATTTGAGTTACGCTGGCCTCGAGAGAAAGCCGGAATAATGTGACATGCCCTCAGCACAGCGCCCGGGTCTACGAAGCCGAATGCGCCCGGATGCACTAGAGGTAGGAAACGAACGCGGCACAAAGTATGCGTTTCCCAGACATGTTCCTGTACAGACTCATACCACCGCACAAAAAGGAACTCTGTTCGACGAGATTCGTACACATTCCCAGTACGAACAACATTGACGTGGTGTATACCGAGGACCTTGGCATAACGGTAGTGGCCATCGCGCCCATCATCATGTTGGAGCAACATGATGTTGCAATGTGGGGTTCTCGGATTTATGACGTCTTGGGCCCTTCTGACATCGTAAGTTGTATAATTGAACCTCACCAGGTTGTGGTGATAGATTCTGTTACGTTTAAAGAGAATGGAAGCACGTTCTTCGTCGGTATGGGTGGTTTTCTCCATAGAAGATCCAGGCGCCCCTGTGACAATATGGTCCAGAATATGATCCTTTAACCGCGGCAGGAAGTCCTGATGCTCATGTCAGAACGACGATTAATAAATTCTAAGGTCAGCTACCTTCATAGCAGGATCTCCCGCATTACTGTGAAGGTAATGACCAACTTCGTCGTAAAGCTTCTCGCTTTGGCCGATGTGGTGGTGTAGCCGGGGATTGCTCGCGGTTTCGTTTGACTCCACACGAGAAGCCCGTTGTTGATGTCGTTGTTTAATGCGGCGCAAGCGCGTTTGACGGCGCTCAATCTGAGTTAGCTGTTGAACAAAGGATCTGCGATCAGTTCGACGGTATCTACCCTTCGGCGTGCGGTGCTCCAACTCCCCCTAAATAGCAGTTAAGCTAAAGTGACGGGCAGCAGATCATGACTTACTGGCTCTGTGCTGTATGAATCGGTGGTTCCAAAGTGACGGATGGAAGTCACATAGTCCCCCAGCGCATGAAACTTGTAGGTACGAAGATTGAATGATTTCTTCCTCCTCAGTTGCCGCGGTAAGGGGGTATCCTGCAAGTGCTCTGCACCGGCCTTCTGTTTCCCTTTAGTGTTGGTACTTGCTGCAGTTCCTCGCCCAACACCATTCGCCTTGCCTGTCTCCACCCGCTTAGCTGCATCCTTTGCCTGCCGACGAGACCGCGCATCAACCTCACGATCGAGCTCCTGGGTGCTGTACGCAGCGCACACTGTCGCCTTAAACTTACGAAATTGTTCACCAAGTTCGGTCGTTTGTTGGTCGAGGATTGCTAAGGTCAGGTCAGAATGCATGCGCAGTTTGGCAAGTCCATGCCAGTGTGCCATGACGAAAAGGAGGTCCATGATAATTTTGTTGTGAGCTTCGGGGAGCAGGCCTTCGAAGACCGGGATAGAACACTGGTACCAAATTAGTTCACAAAGCAATATGAGAATTATCCCAAACGCATACCTGAAGAAGATCTTCGAAGTTTCGTGCAGCCAAGTTCGACAATTCAGAGGTGTTGGCAGAGAATCGCCTAATCGTTGCGGGCCCAAATGAGGGAACTTGTCTGTATCTGTCGGAGGAGGGGATGAGTGTGATGGGCCTTTATTGGATACGTATTAGCAACCTTTTATCAAGCTCATGGACCAGGTCCTTATTAAAGGCGAAAAGGATGCGAAGTAAATGAACTAGAAGCATGCGCCAAACCCCTAGTTCGAACTCGTGAAGGAGATCGACGACAAGCGCAGCAAACACATTGAATCCAAACGCACTAAGGCTGTCTGACAGCGAGTTCTAATCAAGGGTGAGTGAAGGCAACAAGGGAGATGGATGATCGTGCTCACTGAGTTCGGTACCCACGAATCAGGTTTGAGAAGCGACTCGACTGCTGTACTGTCGATGCCATAATTCTTCTCGTATATGAACGTGCGCGCGGCAGCAACAGGCTGACTCCTCGAGGCATGAGACCGCGCCATTGTTGAACGTTGTTGCCGGTCACGGCTCATTCCCAGATTATGAAGGCGAGCCATCGGTATTAGACATCGCGTGCAGGGACAACCTCCCAGCTGCCGAATAGTCGCAACGAGAACCCTGGTTTCTGTGAGCTTGGATTTCATTCGAGAACATTAGGGACTCACTTCTCAGGATAATCAGCAGAGTAGGTAAATAATCGTGGATAAAACCTGCGTTTTATCCCGTCACAGCACAAAATGACGATCCCGTGCTCGTAAGCCTCTAAAAACTCGTGATCGAGCAAGACTTTCCATTGAGCCTGAAATAGTTCACGCTGGCAATGTGTTGTGTACTCGCGGCCAACCCCCTTCCCTCCAGTGTAAGTGCCAGTGAAATCTTTGAAAGAGTCTGGTAGCTGCCAAGACGTGAGTTTTGAATGCTGAAGAGGAAACTTCAAAAGGGTAATCGCACCTTTTGAAAATAGGCCACATGGTTAGCCAAATTGCAGGATGGTTTGCAACGGCGGTATTTGGATTCATTTCCAAAGTACATGTACAACGGCCATAGCTTCGCATTGCCAAATGTTGTCAGGTGCGTGGCATCTGACCAAAACATAAGTGCGACAACCACGCGTGGTAAATCGCACCCCTCCTCCCGAGGAGACTCCTGAAGTTCACGGTGCGCGTCCATGAAAGCCGGAGAGGTATACATTTCACCTTGAATGTCGACCTCACAAGGAAGATGAGGAGCACTCCATCGCAGTTGGTAAGGTTCGTAATGGAAAAGCTCATCGTCCTGAGGATTTGAGAGCTTTTCACGAATGACGGAGATGAGAGATCGGTGGTAAAGGTCAGCTGCGACGTACGGTCGAACACCTGGCTGAGCTGTGGTCCGAGAAAAGGGAACTTGAATGGTTACTTGAGTTTTGCGCCAACCCGCGTCCTCATCCTCCCATTCCTCCCTCTCATCGTCGTCGATACTCGCACCTAGTTTCGAGTTGATTTTGTCCCATGGCGTACTCCGGACATTATCGGGATCAAAATTTGGGTGACCGACAATATCAATGAGCTCTTTGAAGCTTTGATGGGACTTCTGCACGCCGCCATTCCAATACCAATGACCGAGCTCGAAAGACGATCGATTGGGATAGGGGTGAAATGAAACGTCGTGAGTGTCAGCAAGGGCATCTAGCTCTGCTGAAGTAACAGCTGGCACATAACTGATATCTTGGAGCGTCACTGCTTCTTCCGGGTCATGAGATGGGGGGGTGGATGAGAAGAACTGGCGAATCAATCCGAAGACATTTCTAGCAGTGCGAAAGGGGGGAACTGGCAGAGATGCACGATCACCGGTGGACACGTCAGTTGGTTCTGGTGGGTTAAGCTCTGGTGCTGGGGTAGTATGGCCAGGGGGGGCGCTTGGAAGAGGTTGTGGGAGCACATCCTCATGCTGCCTATATCGTAGCGGCATAGGAACGCCAATACGTCGGCTCCTCCGCTGCGCCAGTGATAAACTTTCATCCTCATCTATTTCCATAGGTGTGGTGCCAATGCTGGCGTTAGATGCAGCGGCGAGTGGATGGTCCTGCGATGAAGGCCCTGCACCCGAAACCTCATGTGGGTGGTGCATTCCCGACGGAGTTGAGCAGACGTGTGAAGGCTCAGGTTCCGCGTTGAATGGCTCATTAGCCTGTTCAGTGGACGGGAACGATCCCCGCGGATGGTGGGGGTGCTCACTTGAAGACGTAGTGCTAAGGCGGGTATACCCGTCGACTCGTGACCGTTTTACAGAGCCCAAAATGACCCTCGCTTTAGATAAAGCGGAAAACAATCGCTTCTTGCCCTTCGTGCACGAGCGTTGATGTTTACTGTAGGCGTTCTCGTGCGTGAATTCACGCGTACAGGTGCATCTGAAAGTGATTGGAACCCGCAACGAGTCATCCTGATCCATGACGATGAGGAACGGAAAGCGTGAGGAGCTAAAAACTGTAGTTGAGCCCAATGATAAAAGGTCGCCGCGTGGAATGACTTACGATTCGGCGGTAATAAGGTTGGGCACTAATGATGGTGGGTCAGTAGGGTTACTTCAGAATAGCCTTGGTGCTGTGATGGTGGGCCACACGGCGGGCTGGTGCACTTGATGATGACATGATGACATAGGCTAAATTCATGCCTCATAAAAGTAGGGCAAAACACGTCCTACGCCGGATCACTCACTGGAAATGGAAGCTCCATCTTCACCTTCTTCAACCATTACTGCCCCCCCTGACTTCCATGAAGCTGCTCGACGGTTAGCCAGAATGATTGCGGAGGCTATGACATGCGACTTCGCCCTCATGCACTACGACAGTGCCTCGGAGTCCATGATCGAATGGTATTGGTGAGATGGCATCGGATCCTATGCCAATGTTGAGCTGATACCGCTCCACAAAAACGCAGGCCTATCGGTTGTGATGGGAAAAAAATTCCGCCATCCCATCTAGAGATGCACCGCGATGGATATGATTATAGATTCCCATGCTGCTTATGCGCTGACGGCGGTGGAAGAGGAGCGTATGTAGAGTCTGCCGTGTATTCTTGGTGGGATGAGGGTACCAAAAAGACTGATTGGACCGCAAGGTGTACAACCAATAGATGCGGATATCAAGGTTCAGTATTCTTCATACTCAAGAAGATCTCAGACTCAATATCACCTAGTGAAAATAGACAAATACTTCCGTCTACCATCCTCAGCCGCCTTCCGGTACCCTCAAAGAGGTATGTTTGCTTCGTTGTAGCACTGCAGGTTCATGACGGACGATAAAGAACAGGAAGTCTTGCCTAAGGCTATTCGACTTGAATGGACCCACAGGGAGCAAACAGAACTGTTGAAAAGACTCAACTCTTCTATTGGTAATGGGATTCCTGCAAAGGAGTTCCGAATTCTGTTTAGACGCTGCAAAAAATGCATGCGGGTAGGAGCAAGGCCAACGATGAGCCGTCATATCTGTTCAGGTGTGACAAAGCGTGAACCACGGTCACGGCACGCTTTAATCGAGTCACGCCACTAGCTTATATTTTCTAATTACCTATGTGTGCACACTGCGATTGGTACTCTAGCCTACCTACCATATCACTTGAATAATCGTTTACGCGTAACGTCGTATTCCAAGTGATTTACATTCAGACACTCAGTGGGACATGTAAGGAAACGAGATACCGCACTTTCAACCGTAACTGCCACATTAGGCCGACAAGAAAGATAGAGTCTAGAAGGACAACTTCATCCCTGCCAGCATTGACACCCTGCACACCAAATCCTTCGCGGGCAGGACACACTAGCACATACAGTGACCTACGAGAGATGTGCGACCGAAGATTTCCTCAGCACCGCCCCCCCTCCCCCCCCCCCACATCGCTTGGAAGGGGTGATACCAAGGCGGCAGGGGTGAGTTATTTATATCTTTTTGATGCCTACCAGCTTGCCCACCCAGGCCCCACGATCTCAACTCCGCGAAGGCTGTAGGCACTCAACAATTCGATATTGAACCACCGCTGTATACATATAAATACCGCTTATTACAACATATCGCACTACCTCATGTGCGGCCATTCATTCAATATGCCAACCTGTCTTTCTTCGGATCTGTTTGATTACTCAAGTGCTCGCGCGAGCATTTTTCAACTCTCGAATTCTCTGGGCTCTGAAATGCTGGATGCCTATATAGGACTGATAGCAAGTCAGAAGGTCAGTTTGGTAATATCACATCTTTGTGCATACTGATCGTTTTCTTGCCACGTAGCTTCAAACTGAATTATATGTTCTGTCATTTTTGCTCAAAGATCGAGTCTATCCTGGCGATCTTTGGGAAATAATTGGTGAGCGCAGTATAGAGGCCAGGCAAGAAGAAACGTTGCGCAGGCACCAGCATATCTGTACTGGTGGGGCTGGTGGAAGGCACGCCCATGTAGAGCGAGTTCTCATAGACGAGAGGAGGAGACGGTGTCAAATGGAGGTGTCTTTGTATAGTCAGGCGATTGAGCTCTTGGAACTAGGGATTAGCAGGGGTATGGGTAACCCGTGGGGGTCAGGGGTAGGGGTCTCTAGGGGTACGGGTAGGGGTTTGGTTTGGCAGACCCCTGACCCCTCGATACCCTTCTATTCAATTATCCATGTTTGGTGTCACAGCTGTCACAACTGTATAGGACATCAAAACCTTATTCCTATTACACTCAGAAGCCAATCTAAAATGAAAAAGTTCTCGTAATTCTGTGATCTAGATCTACGATACCATGTCTAAGTTAGGCAAAAGGGTAACAAAGCTCACAACGAAGGCAGCCCAGGCTTTGGCTGAAGGGGCCAACAAGCTCAAACGAAAAGCTAGCCATAGCAGTACCACTATCAATACCTCAAAAAAAACCAAGGGCACCACACTCGAAACAAGCTCTGAGTCTCCTTCTTCTCGGAGCTCGAGTCCCACATTCCCAAGCAGCCATAAAGCCACTGTTCACACCGAAGAAGACGAGGATGCTCTCAATACCATTATTATCAATGATACTGACTCCAACACCTCTCGCGACGATGATGGGGAATCCTCGGAGGCAGAACTTGGTTTGTCATTAATCAATCTGCTGATCATGAGAGACACACTAAATCAATGTTAGAGCGTCTGAAAAAAGACTGGAACTCACCCGTCTATGCATTTTTTCATCCTGAAGCTGACATTGAGTATGTACACAGTCGACGGTGCCACGTATTCAAATGCGCTGCAAAAGGTTGTCAACAACGAATCCGTCGATTCCTCGATACCGGAGATGCGAGGTCAACTGGAAACATGCGTAAGCATGTCAAAAACTGCTGGGGGGAAGATGCACTTGCTGCTGCGGTGCACACCAAAAATGCCAAGGAGGCACGCGAAACCGTTGTGCAGGGTATACTCACGACGGGCACAATAACGGCCTCTTTCGAACGAAAGGGAAAAGGGAAGGTGACCTTTTCACACCGTCAGCACACGAAAACAGAGACAAAGTAAGTACTCACTTCCTTTTGGTACAAAGATTAATCTAATATACATGTCGAAGGGCCGAAATCGTCCGTTGGGTTTCCGAAAGCTTTCGTCCATTCGAGGTTGTGAACGACCGAGGGTTTCAATCCCTCATGAAAACAGGCAGGCCGGAATACTATATACCTTCTCCATCTACAGTATCGCGCGATGTTCGTCTGGTGTTTGTGCGAACACGTCAGCGAATAGCAAACATGCTCCAGAATTATGAAGGTGAACTTAACTTTGCGACGGACGCATGGACGTCGCCCAATCACAAAGCCTTCGTGGCAGTATCAGTGCATCTTGAGCACGAGGGCAAGCCTGTGGCTATGATCCTAGACATTGTAGAGGTACCGAAGGTGAGCAATTAGTTAATCTATATATATGGACAATGTACTTACTGGAAACACATAGTCGCACAATGGTGTGACCCTTGCGGAAGCGTTTGCGAAGATTCTGCAAGACTTCGGGATATCAGATAAGGTATGGACATGCATAGGAAGGACTTACCACCACGTTAATCAAAAATATTGAAGATCTTGAGCATAACGTCCGATAACGCGTCAAATAACGATACTATGATATCTGAGTTAGCGGACAATGTCGCACACTTCGAGGGCAAGAACTCACAAACTCGTTGCTTCCTCCATGTCATAAACCTCGTGGCGAAGTCACTAATACGTCAGTTCGACCCACCGAAACGAAACAGGGATGAAACCCTTGACGATCTTGCGAGGGGTATGGAGCTTGAGGAGCGGGTGACTGTGGAAGATGGTGATCAGGAGGCCGATGACGATGCGCCAGGATGGGTTGACGAGGTTGCTTTACTTACGCCAGACGAGCAACGTGAACTCCACAATAATATTCGGCCTATCAGGCTCGTGCTCGTCAAAGTGAGTTTATCTTATCAAAGATAACGAAAAAAAACACTCACCGGTTTGCATAGCTCCGAAAACTTTCCTTTAAACTCATTCACTCCACCACCCTCCTACTACCAGCCTGGCATGGAATCTTGAAGGAGTTGCAGCTTGGAGTCAGAAACATGCCGCGAGATGTTGCGACTCGCTGGAATTCAACATTTGACATGTTGGAGTTTGCGCTGGAGTACCGGGCCGCAATTGACCGAATTACCGACAAACGCAAATTGGGATTGGGAGAATATGAGCTAGATGATGAAGAGTGGACATTGGCAAAGGAATTGCGTGATGTTTTGAAGGTGAGTGTTCTGAATGTTGAGCACCGCTGGTTTGCTGACTAATCAAAATGATGTATCATTGTAAGATTCTCAAGCATGCAACACTGTTTTTCTCTCGTTCAACGCCAAACCTCGCTATGGTTATACCGGCGATGGACCATATCGACACCACCTTCACCAACTGCATCATCAACAAGGCCCGTCTTCAGCCAGCCATCCGCACTGCCCTCGCACTTGCAAAAAAAAACCCTCAACCGCTATTATTCACTTACAGACTCGTCAAACGTTTACCGTATTGCCATGGGTATGTTTTTTTTTCATTCATTTGAGTTAACTAACTAATTATGTGCTACAGTTCTCCACCCTCACCACAAACTCCAGTACTTCAAGCAGGCAGGATGGCAGGCGGAGTGGATTGCTACGGCCGAGGCTCTAGTTCGCAGCCAGTACACAACATCTTATCGTCGTCGATCTCACGGAATCACTTCTGACGGAGCCCTGGATGACGTCGCTGACTCTGCCAGTGCTCACCAGGTACGTGAGCACACTCGAATACTGTTTACTGACTGACTGGTCCCCAGGGAGACTTTGAGAATATTTTTGACAGCTTGCCCGCACTCGCTAAGCCCCAGCGGCACATCGTGCAGAACGAACTCGATGCCTACCTTGCAACCGATATTGAAGATGTCGATGATGCTCTGCTCTGGTGGCACGAGCGCCGTCATACATTCCCCCGTCTCTCTCGTATGGCCCTGGATTATCTTACAATCCCTGGTAAGTTTTTTTTTTGTACGTGCTAATAACTAACTGATATATTCACACACATTGTAGCTACGTCTGTCGATGTTGAACGCATTTTTAGCCGCGGCCGTCTCGTTCTCTCCCATGTGCGTAATCGTCTATCGGCTCAATCAACACGCGCGCTACTCTGTGTGGGATCCTGGTCGTTGTTGGGCCTTGTCAAGGACGACGACGTCAAGGCTGTTGCAACCATGGCTGATGTCGAGGGTGATGACCAAGTAATGGAGGATGGATGGGATGACATCAAGGTATAATGATAGACTAGTAGTTTACATTTTGTCAGTACTATACTCGATTTTCTGCTCAAATTTGATTTTACCCTTGACGTACCCGCGAGCATTCGTGTACCCGTGCATACCCGCGGTACCCCCAGCGATACCCGTACCCCTTGTCATGGGTAGGGGTTTTGGCGGGTAGGGGTAGGGGTTAGCCCCTGGATACCCGGGGGTTACCCGTGCAGATCACTACTTGGAACAACACTGGATGTGTGAGCTTATTCAAATTTAAGTGCGGCTGTGTGGTCTGAACCCACTTGCTATTTGTAGCACGATTTGGAGCTCGAACCAAGCATCCCATCAGGCCAAGCACGATGGAAACAGTTACACCTGCAAACTACATACCTTTACCTTGTGCGCCTTTAGCCTGTTTAATAGCAACACGAGAGACGTGTGTAGCTTGGCTAAGGAGGAACAATACCCACTGCCTCATTCCATGTTCAGAACCTTTGATTGAGAAAACGTTACGTTCAAGTTCGGACGGCTCTACCTTTTCAGTCTTTGGTCAATCGGCCTCGCACGCAGGAAGACCAATATCCGTCAGTTTGAAGGTCAGTACTGTGATAGTCCACTCGGCTGCTCTCACTGCCTTTCTACAGTGTATTGGCTCCCCATTTTCCCTGTCAAGTACATGGGTCACTTCCGATGTCCAAGAAAAATTTTTCCAGGCGTTCCAAGCAGAACTGACCATGCAGGCGGAGTTGATGGTGACATCCCTTGCCACTAGGCGTAACAACGCTCATCTGCGTAACCTTGGTCTGGATTTGCTCATCTTGCGGGCAAAGCTATGCCGCGCCCAAGCTGAGATGGAGCTCTACATGATGGCCTTTGAAAATTCTCATGTGTGCAGCTTCTGTGACAATAGTAAGCATAGGCTGATTGTGCTCCCTTCAATCGTTGACGTCCTTGTAGGTTTCTCAACGTCCCCAGATCCGATTGTTCCACGATGTCTACCTGAGGAAGTAGACCTTATCCAGGATCACGAGGACGATGAAGACGAGGATGACGACAGTGATGGCTCGGGCAGCGAAGACTATGATGATATCGACGTTTGGGTGCCATGAGTTAGACCAGGCTGAGATCAACATCTTTAGTGCATGACAATATTTTTGGCCATCCCGCTGGACCCTAACCTTCTTGATTTATTGCCTTTGTATCGAACATTACTAGCTACTGTATCGATCATGTAGAACAGTGTTATTTTGGTGTAATCACAATAGACTTTGCGTTCACTCCAGTTTCTAAGAGTGGCAAAGCTTGAAAATCAAATTCGTATCGCTGCCGCGGATCACATTTCCGCACATGCATCTTACTAGCTAGCTAGTAATACCTATTAAGCATACCCAATTCCCTAGGCAATATGACACCCCTTAGTATTTTCTTCCTCGATGTTATTACTCCACAGCGAGTTCGCACATCTCAATCATTTCTTGATTAATTCGTGTCGTGTTTCTGTATTCCAGCTGCTATATGTTTGATATATATTCTCGACCACATGTATCTCGACGCCCATACGCGATCATGGCCTTCTTGAAACCTTAGAGCTCGCAATGCTAAACCTGCATCATCCAACGGTAGACCGTGAGAAAATAGGTTCATCATCAATTCCATCACATTGATACATACATTTACAGTATACTCTCAGCCATCAACCTCAAGTTCGTATTCGCCTGGGTGATACAGTCAGTTTATCCCCAAGGCCACCCGCGTCCGACATACTTTGAGTTGGAGAAGGGGCGTCCCATGCAATCTGATGAGGAGAACAAGTACTGATTCCACTCGGTACGTATTTCTCCATCATCCTTGCCCGGTAATTTTCCTCTAACCAGCGAAGTCTGTAAATTTGGTACAGATTTCGCAGCGTTTCGCAGCCCATCTCTGCCATCTGCAGGCGCTCTTTCAGCCTGACAATGGAGTCCAACCTCGCCATCTTCGTGTTTTTGTGTTGGCAGAAGTAGAAGGGAAGCCTTATCGTTCCTTGCTGATTTGTTATCTTCAACATCCTCGCTAACCTATAATAAACTTCAAGAACGATTGATAATATTGACTGATTTTACCTGGTGAGTTCCTGGTCACCTTCATCAGCGTGGCCCACTAACTCGATCCTAAGCAAAGGCATCAGCGTGTCCCGCCTCCGGGTAGGTGCGATAGGTTTACCGCAGGTTTAAGTTGATACTACGTCCTTGTAGCTCGAAGGCCTGACATGAGGGACACGGCATATTGGACCTAGGCAGATGTAAAATGGCGAGCTGCCACAAGACGATGCAAGGTCAGTGGAGCTATATGCCTACGGTGGGTACTTATGTCACACTTTAATCTAGCCATCGAATTGTAGCTCGCCTTCGGCTCAAGGTCGACGGATATTCACCTTGGCCACCGTTTGACCCACGGCTCTGGCCACCGGTTACGTACCATGCCTACTGCCCTGCCCACCAGTTAAGTTCAGTGCCCACTCTGGCTACCAAGTTTCCCTGAGATATCATATAGCGTAATGCTAGGGATAAAAGCGACTTACAGTATCTGCGACGCCGGTGCTACCCTTTCTTCCCAACTTCCATGACCACCCACGACACCACTTCCAGTATTCCGGCCAAACGCGGCTCGTCCGCCCTCCAAATGGGGCCTCGCAAAAGAGCGTAAGTTGTCTATATTGACCACAATTTTTGTACGCTCATCCTGTCCACCAGCTCCCTATCCGATCCGCTCGTATCCCACGGGCGCCACTTTGGTCGAACGGTGTTCGCGCTCTGCAACTATCCTTCCTTGCTCACCAATGGTATATTAAGACTGGAGCAAATGGAAGATACCCCGTTGGAAGACTTCTCTGCCGAGTAAGAGACATACGCAATTTGTATTCGCTTGTTGGCTGACGTACTTGATAGAGAGCGGCGAGAACATCGCGTTTTTGAGCAACTCTTGGACTCCTACCCCGGCCTTCTGGACCGATTGAAGGATGGATCCGATGAGGAAATCCTTCACGTTGGGGAGCTGGTACATCATTACCTATGTGGCCAGATTTTGCGCTCATAATTTGCAGATTGGTAAGGGAGCCGCAGGTGCCAGAGGCGACGACACAAAAACGTTGAAGTCTGCGGTGTTAGATTGGATTTCCCCGAAAGGAGAAGCGATACAGCCTCCTTTACACAGAAACTCCAAAATTGACCGCGGATTCAACCACAAGCTCACTGGATCTCTCCTCTGTCCTGCTGGGCTGGATTGGAGTGATCCTCAGTATGCTCCGGTTTGCTGCCCTTGAATATTGCACTTATTCTTATTTAACAGGATTAAAGAGGATCTTCGCAGTGGTGAAATGTCGGTCTGTGGGGATCAATGGCCCATATTTTTGTATGCCCACTATGTTTATGATCATGAGGACCCATGGTCCGGTCTTCTTAGGAGCCGCTTGCTAGTATGTGTGAGTGCGCACTTGTGAGATCACCTCGCTCGTTTACTTCATCGTGTTCCAACAGGCCTACAAGCACGTTTTCACCTCTCCAAGCTCAGTCGACAGAGAGCCCAAAGCCACGCGATCCGGCAATGCTCGCCTCCACGGCATGAATTGTGTCACCATGGCCTCCATAGCCTATATCGCAACTCAGGTTCGTTGATGATGATACTTTTGTGGTGTAGTGTTGACGTACGAGTGAAGGTGCGATTCGCCTTAAGCTCATCTTCAGTGTTCTCGCGAACCGACACGACCACGGACTCTGAGACTTTCTACCATAGCCTCCTTGACCTCTTAGAAGACCCTGAGGAATCTAAGGAAGTTGACGAGCTGCTTACTTGGTGGAATCGGTATGTTCAACATCCTTCACCACGTCGCCAAGGCTGATACATTATCGCTTCTTCAGCCAAGTTTTTCCTACATCCTCTGCTGCCAAGAGACCTATCAGCGCCAACAGCGCCTTATCCAAGATACGACAAAAACGAATGGCCCTCAGACAAGCTACAAACCTCCATAATATCTCTTCGTAGATTAATATACTCGTCTGTCTGTAGTAAATAGTATTGCAATCTAATGATGGTCTGCTTTTGCTTTGTGTCAATAAGGACCATTCTTCCACGAAATGCCGACGGAAGAAATCACCTGACCAATATAAACGCACCGGCACAATGCAACATGTTGTAAGATTTTATCTAGAAACGCCCTTTAGAGTGTGTTTGCGGAGAAAAATAGACTCGATTGCATTGCATATGATGACCACAGCTCAGCGGCTATCCGACGGATAGCACTACGCTGCCATGTCTCCGCACCATGGGAATAAAAGAGGTCCCCATCCAAAAATGTCTGGCTTTGGAAGATTGCAGCATTTAGAGAGAGAATGGGGAACATGCAACAAGGAACTATTTTCGTGTACGTTTGTCGTATCTCAATCAGGGATCACAACCACATACCTAAGGTCGACGCCAAGGGGGTTCTTGTTGAGAATACAATGACAAGCTCTGCCTGCATAAGGCAACCACGTCGGCAGAGCTCGATACTGCGTTGGATACACCCGGCACCATTGGACTATCGTCCGTTATAGTCCAACACAATCCAACCATATAATAGTTTAACTCACACTGTCATTAATTTATATGTTGGGGTGTATAAAATTCAAATCTCATCGTGCATACACTTATCGGACCTCGTCGAGGTTGGGGAAGATGGTAATCCACTGCCATTCGTCGCCCAGATTGTGCACTTGGTAGGTCGGAGCAATGCAAGCAGGAATTGCAACCGCATACCTAAGGTCGACACCGAGGGGGTTCTTGTCGAGAGTACAATGACAAGCTCTGCTTGCATAAGGCAACCTCGTCGGCAGAGCTCGATACTGCGTTGAATACACTTGGCACCGTTGGACCATTGGCAGTTATGGTCCAACACAGTCCAACCATATAAAAGATTATCTGACACTGTCATTAGTTCAGAGATTGCGGAGGAAGTAAAAGCAGTCAAAGGCTACATGCCACCACCAAGGTAGGGCAGAATTATAGTATATTGCAGCTGGTTCTCGAGTAGGCGACGGTGGTTGGTCTCAACAACTTAATATTGTATTGCCACGTCTGATGGGTGTTGCAATATGTGCAATTTCGGTGACAAGCTGGCAAGTGATTGTGACTAAGCTGTCACGGTTGTGCATTTGACGGTTTCTATCCAACTAAGTCCAAGTATTCAAAGCTTGCTCATGAGGGGTACAAATGTGATGATTATTGTGCATATTTTAGATCAGATAAAGCCTTCTAATGATTTATCATTTTCGGGTCGTTTACCTGATGTGCCAACCAGATTGTGCTCGGCGGTGCTGCCTACGGTCACGTGCACTGAGTCATTGACAACGGTTTACTCACCAAATTTAAAACAGGCGCGCTCGCCAACGGCATTTTCTACAGATATGACAACTGCAGTCAGACGGTAGATATTATTTCCAACCCTGAAGCAGGGTAGTATGGCTTGACGTTGTTTGGTCGAATCAAGTGAGTGTGGGCTGTACTGGCGGTTACCTAGAGAGTGAAAGGAAAGGCTTCACGAAAGGAAGTCGATTGTGGTCCATGTGAAGTCACACCCAATCTTGGCTATGCATAACGGTCAAGCTTCAAGCTTCAAGATTCGAGGTCCGTAGTAAGAAAAAGGTATACATGCACTTCAGGTATTCATCCAACAGTAACATCAAACAAGTTCTGCAAATCCTACCCTCGTATTTCCGTAATCAAATACCGAATACGTGTTCTGGAGAAAGACGTCGCCGACGATCGTGAAATCTGCGGTATAACAAGCATGAGCACTAACATCAAGTTAAAGATGACACAGGCTGTAGTTTCAATAGCACCCTGCGGCTCCTCATTATCCTCCACTTCTGCTGTGATACCCACATTAACATCTGCAGCAGGTTCCTCCGCCTCTGCACCTGATGTCTCGACTGGTGTAGCAGTGGCCAATGCTTCTGCCGCCGGCGCAGGTTCTTCGGCCGGTTCTGACTCGGCAGCTTCTGTGATGGGCTCCACGGTGATTGGAGTAGCTTTAACCCGTTCCAACTCGGCAGCGTCTGTGGTGGGCTCCATTGTTGTCGTGGGTTCTGCGTCAGGCTCAGTGGCCGGAGTCTCCTCTACGACGACCTCGAGTAATGCTTATTCGATTGGTGCAGCTTCAAACGTCGTTGGCATAATCTCAAGCTCGGCTGTAGAAGATTGACTTTCAACCGGCACGGGTTCTGCTTCGACTTGCACAGATTCCTGTTCGACCAGTATGTTTTCGCCTTCGGGAGCGGTCTCTGCTACAGCTTCAATGGACGCTGGAGCCACGGTCTCGGTGACTGCGGGTTCTGTTCCGACGGACGAAACCTCCACTTCCGTTGGGCTTGCTTCTGCTTCAATCAGCTCCTTTACAACAGCTGGTTCATGTTCCGTGGCCATGATGGTTAATTCCTACAATGTCAACAAGATGAGGGAGAAAATACTTAATAGCAACACAACAACTCACCTCTGTGTCAACAGCGGGCGGGAGAACAATTTCTTCCAGGAAATCAGCAGTGGGGCTCATTTCAGTACTCGGATCAGATATGGGCGTCTCGTCCGGACAGTGAGAAGGCTCTGCGTCAGCAGTGCTCCCGACGCCGTTTATGGAAGTTGCAATAGCGTCTGATAGGGACGCGTCAGGGCCGGTGCTAGCATCGATAGGAGGCTCTCCATCAGCTAAAGAGGCTTTAGAAGCATCCACAACGATTGTGGCAACATCGACAAAGGGTATTTTCGGCTCAGTGTTGTCAGTGATTGGCAATTCGTCCTATAACTGATTGTCAGACAATGGACGCGTCAAAAGCATGGTTTTGTGTTTGCACACCTTGCGTATCTCTAAACTGATGGTATCGGAAACTTCATTCGCGTCCTCTTGGACGAGCTCTGCGACACTCGCAGGCTTGTCGCACGGGGCGATTGTGAAAGTTGTAAGTTGCTCGGACCCGTCAACGAAAAGATACTTGTGATGGCCATTGGGGAGAGTCTCAGAGTCATGGATAAGAGTGGTGTTGTGCTTATCAGAGTCACTGGCGTGCAGAACTGGTGCCTCTGGTTCCATATCATCGACCAACTTGCTCTGCATACAACTCAGTCACAAAAGAACTACAACACGGCAAAGAGTGGCACGCACCACGTTAAGAACCTCGGCAGATGTCTCCGCCGCGAAGGTCTTTCTCCAACTGGCTCATCGATGGGTGTCAGAAGCCCCGAGTCCGATTCGACCCGACCGTCTTCTACCAAATCCTACGGAATTCTGAGCAAATGCAAAGTTCGATATCAAATACAAACCTACAGGTGATTGGGTCTCAATGATAAATGGAACATGTTCAACAAACTCGCCTTCTTTAGCGACCGCTTGATCCTCAAGCGCAGATGCTGGTTCAAGTGCAGATACTGAGTAGGACGGCGTCCAGGGAGAACTACTGCGTTCTTCGTCAGGGTCGGTAGTACCCAATTGCTGTTGAAAGTACTTAGCGCGACTGATTTCAGGATAAAAAAGCAGTCACCTACCAAAATCTCGTCCTCGACGATGACCCACGTTCAATTTCCTCCTCGGGCACTTCCTCCACAGGAGCTGGCTCAGGTGGATTCAGTACCGAAGGTTCTGCTTGAGCGACCCTTAGCCCCGAAGCGACATCCTGGACAGCCTCTGCTTCGACAGCAGAATCAGGAACATCTGACTCCACAAACTCGTCTAGCGTTTCTGAAAGCGTAGCATGCGTGTCTGCAACAACTGTAGTAGAACTGAATGCCTCGCTAGAAATGAGAGCCTCTTCTGTAAACAGAATAGGTTGATCTTCAACTCCTTCCGCTGCAACAGACTGGGCGGCACTCGGAGGAAGCTGTTCCAAGTCATCGAGTCCCTCATTGATCTGAGCAACGTTGCCTTGTACAGTCACCGAGTAAGAAGACGTCCAAGGTGATTTAGGGTGAGGCTTTTCCGGATCGCCGAGCGTAACCTATCCCCAAGTCAAGCTCAAAGCAAAAAGACAACGGACGGGAAATCATACCTGTTCCTCTGCCAATTGTACGGTCACAACATCAACTTGGGACTGTCCGAACACTTCCATATCAGCTGCAATCTCTGGAAGACTCGGATTGGAGAAGGTGTTTGAGAGTGGCAACTGGGTGTCATTATCCATGGTCACATCCAGTGTATGGCTGGACGGCAGGAGGCGCTCAACTCGCTGGCAAAACTTCTGAAGTTCATGTAGCCAAACAGGATGCGAGGATGGCGTTGAACTGAGTCATTGCATATCATCCCAGAGCTTGAACAGAGCCGCAGCAGCCCCCACGATCTTCGGGAACCTGCTTTCCATGATAGATCTAATCTCTTCTAGTACGTCTGGTGCATCCACCATCACTTCATGCCATTTATGGCTAATCCAAGTCACTGATTGACCAAGGTTGAATCTCCAAGTGGCAGCGCTCGGCAATTCGCCATCATCCGAACCATCGCCCTCCTCGTAGTCAATGGAGAGAAGTGAGTAAGCGCGGTAAGCACGTTGGATTTAAACCTCGAAGGCAGCTGATGAACGGTCTCGATCAAAATTACTGCATCAGTTCATCAAATTAAAGACGCACTCATGGTGACAACTGGGTCGGCATGCGAGAAGAAAGCAGGAAGGTGTCAACAACACCCTTAGTCTGTTGGCGGGGCGCTAGCGAGAGCTCGACAGAACTGAATGAGTTAAACAATTGATTAGAAGACTGCGGTGGTAGAACAGACAAGAACGAAAGCAAGGAACAAGACTATGATCGGACAAGTAGTAATCTCGTTTGAAGGTCCGCTAGTCCCGGAATGAGACGGACCGTTCTTTTTTTCATCACATTACCCCCCCTTCAAGGTCGATGCCTTCATCGAACTCTCCTAAAGCCTCTCAGCCTCCAATCATAAACTCCCTGGATTTCCGGCACTGAATATATCCAATCTTCTTGGCGCGGTATACGAATCTTGATCGGTTGACGTTTGTTCTCGCGCCTTAGAAACGTTTGGAAGGCTTCATTCATCCCATACTCGTTCTTCAGGTTTTTCTCTGGCTCCCACGTATTTTCTTCTCGCGGCTGACCCTTCCACTTCACCAAAAACTCTTTCTTACCACGTCGTTCCCGACTATCCAACACTTCTTCAACTAAGAATTCCGGTGTTCCTCCAAGTTCTATCGGCGGGGGTGGTGGAGGTTGTTGTTGTAACGAGGATTTGGGCGGCACATAAGGACGGAGAAGGACTGTATGGAAGGTAGGGTGGATTCGTTTCCATGTACGAGGAAGACTGAGCTTATAAGCACGTTCACCGATCTTTTGAAGGACTTTGAAGGGCCCGAAACGACGATCGTCAAGCTTCTTCGACGGCCGACTGGATTTTAAGTGAGTTGCCTCTAGATAAACTAAATCTCCCGGTTGATATTCTGGAGCGTCCTGAGGATGTTCATCGTAGTATCATATGTTTCATACTCTCTGCTGCTCGTTTCAATGCTATAGTCGCTTCTTCGGCAAGTTTGCTCATACGTGAGGCGAAAACGTTTGCGGACTCTGCTTTGACACCCGTCCGAGGCTCGATACCTTTGCGAGGATGGCGGCCAAAATTGAGGAAAAAAGGAGAATAACCGGTGGAGGACTGGACTTTATCATTGTAGTTAAACTGGGCGAGAGGTAACCACTCCGCCCAGTCATCCTGACGATAATTAGTGAATAAGCGAAGGTATTGCTCAACTTCTTGGTTGATTCGTTCTGTTTGACCGTCTGTCTGCGGATGATATGCAGTCGACAGATTGGTTTGGATTCCTAGAAGTCGATTAAGATCGCGCATGAAGTTGGAGGCAAACTGAGATCCCCGGTCGCTGATAACCCGTTCGGGAATCCCAAAGTCCTGCCATACCCGGTCTCGATACAATCGCGCCAATCCTTCAGACGAAAGCTCTCCGTTAGTCGGCGCAAGTCGTATCATTTTCGACAAACGGTCCACAACGACAAGAATGGCATCATTCCCTTTACTCATAGGGAGTTGGGTGATGAGATCCACTGACACGAACTGCCAGTTATGCTCTGGGATTGGGTTAGGTGAAAGCAGTCCGAACGGCTTGGTAGGAAAAGTCTTAGTACGCTGACACTTCTCACAACCACTCACATAGCGTGTTACATCTGCATGGATTCGCGGCCACCAGTATGTTCGCAAGATGAGTTCCGCAGTTTTGAACCGTCCGGGATGACCAGACACGGGAGGGTCGTGGTGGTCATGAATGATTTGATCTCTGAGGGATCGGTCGTTTGGAACGTAAACACGATTCTTCCACAAGTTCAGTCCCCCTTCGACCTTCCAGTCCTTTTCGCCTCTTCGTATTGCCTCCTTTACGAACTTCTCAATCCTCTTCGATGCTCGGATCTTTGACAAAACCTCGTCTCCTTCTGTTTCGACCTCCGTTTCAATGGTTTTAAACCACTCCTCTTTCAACAAAACACGGTCCTCGTTATCCTCCTCCCCCTTCCCATGATCTGCTCGCCTCGAGAGAGCGTCCGGCTTTCCGTGAGATTTCCCAGGTTTGTGGATGAGGTTGAAGTCGTATTCAGCGAGTTCTAGAGCCCAACGTGCTTGGCGGCGATTGAGCTTTTTGGCGGACGTGAAATATTCGAGGTTTTTGTGATCTGTTAAGATTTCGAAGGTGTGTCGTGCTCCCATCAAATAATGACGCCATTCATCAAGGGAACGCATAACAGCGAGAAGTTCTTTATCGTGAATATCGTAATTGCGCTCGACGTCTGAAAGTGCGCGGGATGAGAAGGCAATCGGGTGCCACTTGTCGTCGTCGTGAAATTGAGATAAGACAGCTCCAGTAGCATAATCAGAGCTGTCCGCTTCGATTCAAAAAGGTGCGTCGTCATTGGGCATCATAAGCACCGGTGCTGTAGTAATTGCTCCCTTCAAACCCTGGAAAGCTCTTTCTTCCTCTACTCCCCAATGCCACAGTTCGTTACCCGTCAGTCGATGGAGAGGATGTGCGATCTGCGCAAAGCCACGGATAAACCGACGATAATAATTCACAAAACCGAGAAATTGTTGGAGCTCCCGTTTCATAGTAGGACGAGGCCATTCCTGTACTCCTCGTACCTTCGCAGGGTCCATGGAAACTTCACCATGTCGAATGACGAGGCCCAAATACTCGACTTCTGTCCGCTCAAATGCACACTTCTCTGCTTTCAAAAATAGATGATTGTCCCGTAAGATTTGAAGGACTTGACGCGTGACTTGACGATGTTGTTCGAGAGATTCCGTGAAGATGAGAATATCATCCATGTATACAATTACGACCCCGCTGCTAATAAGCTCACGGAACAGATCGTTCATCATTGTCTGAAAGGTGGCGGGTGAGTTGGTAAGACCAAAGAACATTACGAGCGGTTCGTAGAGGCCACGGTTCGTCGTAAATGCTGCCTTCCATTCATCTCCTTCTCTGATGCGAATGTTGTTGTAGCCCTATTGAACGTCCAACTTGGTGAAATAGTGTGCATTGCGAAGCTTATGCACGACCTCGGAGATTAAAGGGAGAGGGTACCGATTTCTGATCGTGGCCGTGTTCAGTTTACGATAATCCTGGACTGGACGTAAAGTTCCATCCTTTTTCTTGACGAAGAAAAAGGGAGAAGCAATAGGAGATTTTGATGGTCGGATTCGTCCGGTACGTAAATGTTCTTCAATGAATTTATCAAGTTCAGCTTGCTCCGCTAAACTCAATGGATAAATCTTGCTATTGAAGGATTCGGCCCCAGGTTTGAGTTCGATTGCGTGATCCCATTGGCGACGTTCGGGTAAACGATCAAAGGATGCCTTCTCGAAGATCGGAAGAAAATCATCGAGATATTTCGGGAGTAATTCCTCCAAGGACATCTTCTCTCCCCATTCAAGTGCCCCCTCCGCTTGTTTCCGTGGTCGGGTTTCAACCTGCCGTATTTCCATGCGTTCACATACGTTTCTCCAGTACAGATTGTCTGCAATCTCCGGCTCCATCTTCAGTACGAAAATACGATCCCCTTCTTCAAGACCAATCCTCTCTTCTCTCGTCTGCCTTTTACTATTATTTTCTTCCGGTTCTGAATCATGTTGGTCGTAAGGGTGTTGGTAACATGTCATCGGACAACGATTAAAGGTAAGGTGACCCGAACGCCAGTCAACGGATGGGTTGTGCTTGCGGAGCCAATCATATCCGATGATAATGTCTGTTTTCCCAGTGTTGGTGACGGCAAAGTTGAAGACCTCGACATGGTCGTCAATTTGAAGGCGTAATTTTGCAACTGCTCGGATAGGACCTCCCCCGTTATGCGAACCATCAGCATTGTATACTGGAATTGGGCAAGGGAGTGATTCGAGATTAAGTCCTTTGGCCCGCGCGAAACCCTCATCAATATAGCATCCAGTGGCACCGCTGTCGAGGAGTGCTTGGATATCAAAGATTCGTCGGTCGTCCAAGGTACTGATAAGGATTGGAGTGATGACTGCATTGTGGTTAATCTTGCGAACCCAGGTGCGTGGACGTTTCAACTCTTTCAAAACCTCTTTCTGCATCTCTTTATTCATTTTTCGAAGCTGAGAAAGTAACTCCAAATGAATCTCCGAAGATCATTGACGATTTGCCCAGCGTTGTAATATTTTCAGCGCTATTTCTTCTTCGCCCATTAACTTCTCTTGAACCCATAGAAGGGACCCCCTTTTCTTTCTTTCTTCTTCCTCCTTTTGTTTCGTCTCTCTCGTTTCTCTTCCTTTTCTCCTTTTTGTCTCCTTTTTCGTTGATATTTTTCTTTCATTTTCTTTCTATATATCTCTCCTTCGGGTGCTGGTAAGTTGCAATCACGAGACTTTTCATTGGTAGAATCGCTGCTTATCGTACACTCCACCGGCGAGGTAGCACCCACTACTCCCGGTGAATCTGAAAACCCGCATCTCCGATTTTCTGTCCATTCCCAGTTCCTATCCCAAATATCTCCGCAACTTCTTTCTTCTGCTCGTCAGCTAACCCTTCAAACATAGCCCTCGCAGTCTGCCATCCCCTCGGCTTGGTGCAGTTGCGGGAAACATGTCCCACTTCTCCGCAATTATAGCATTTAATCGGTCCTGTGTGTCCACGAGCCCGATCTAAATCCATTGGTTCGCCATGTCCAGGAAAGGTGCGTCCAGCCCCAACATTGTGCCCCGTTTGACCCCCCGTGCCCGTGTTCGTGCCAGTTGTCCCCGGTGCCCCCATGTTCGGATAGCCTCGTCCTCCTGACATGTTCCCAGGTCTAACCCATCCCGGACCTGCTCGTCCTTCACCAAATCGCCTTCCACTCGCTCCCATTTCACCCACGTCACTCCTCTCATTAGCCCTCTTATTCCTATCATATTTCTTCGCGTACTCCTTCCATCCTTCAAGAGTTCGTTCGACTTGAGGTGCAGCTACGATAGCATCGAAGGTGGGTTTGTCGAGGTTCTGATGGAGGATGTCTAATAATGCTTCATCATTGAAGCCGGCAAGGGCTGCGAGCTGCTCGAACTCCGCGAAGTATTCATCGGCTGATTGCTTGACGTTCTTCTTCAACGCATGGAGTTTTACCTGTGCGACCCGCTTCTTGTTAGGATCATCAAACATCTCTTTCACCTTGGCCTCAAACTCTTCCCAATCGTTGAACGTGACTGTACGTTCCCTCAGTTGCTTCGTAATATTGGTAGCCCATGTACTGGCAAAACCCTTTTTCATATAGGACAGCGCCGTGATGATTTTCAATTGGTCGTTGGCGTAAACGGTGGGTTTGCCAGCAAAATATAAATAAAGCTGACTCATGAACGTATCGAAGGTTTCGTGTCGGCCATCATAGTCGTCTGGCTCGGCGACTGAGGCCTTCGGCATAGTGGGCTGTTGCGCAGCTTGTGCTTGTGGTCGTGCTAAGGCCTGGATCATGGCCTGCTCAAAAGTTTGTTGTCCTTGGACCAGCTGCGCTAGGAGTTGTTGTAAAACAGCCCCAGTACCATTACCGTTCGGAGGAGACATGTTTTGATCAGTGTCAAGTGAGTTGGTCGTAGACGACATGATAGGGGTTGGTTCGCGAAAGTCTTTAATGTTATAGATTTGCTTTCGTTCTAATGTCAACAACACCCTTAGTCTGTTGGCGGGGCGCTAGCGAGAGCTCGACAGAACTGAATGAGTTAAACAATTGATTAGAAGACTGCGGTGGTAGAACAGACAAGAACGAAAGCAAGGAACAAGACTATGATCGGACAAGTAGTAATCTCGTTTGAAGGTCCGCTAGTCCCGGAATGAGATGGACCGTTCTTTTCATCACAGAAGGACATCATATACGGTATAATGCGAGTCGCTCAACTCTCTCAAAATTTCAGAAGATGGAGCCCTAAATATGTTGTTAGCGAGAGTCGCAACATTAAATTTATTATTTTGCCTGTTCGTAGTGTCAGATTCGCCGTAAACGCTCGAAGAGACCGACACTTTCAAGATGGCCTCCATTTGAATTAGACGCTCTTCGTACGACGTCATCTGCCCGAGAATGAGAACCTCGCGAACCTTAAGAGAAACAGAGGTGGACGATCTGAAGGTTCTCGGTGAGCAATTAAACACGAAAAAAATACAGGACCTTACTTGGATTCAAGAGCTGCAGCATCTCGATGAGGTCCTTGAAGGTCGAGGCCATGATCACCTGGTTGTCATTACCCTCAAGAATGTCGTTTGGTGTACTCATCGAAATGCTGATAGGTCTTGTTGCCAATGATGCCAGGGAGACCCATAGGAGGGAGGAGGCCTTCGAAGGGTTTAGCATGCTCGACGCGGGCTGGCTCATCGAGGGTGAGGATGCCAAGAATGTCACCAGGCTCAAGGCTGACACCAGGTTGCTTGACAAACTGGACTACGCCGTCCTCAGCAGCTACCAGTGGCATATATATCTTCATGACCTAGAGGTAGCTAGGTCAGGCGCTGAAACATCGTGTCTATTACGATAAAAGACTTACCTCGATTTCTGCATAGGTCTCGCCAGCGTTGATGTGGTCGCCGCTATCGATAAGGAACCTGACAAGCTTGCCAGGGCTCGGGCTGCTGAGTTGCGTGGGGTCATTCTCCTGCTCAATTAAACACGTCTTGGTGTCGACCATGAGACGCAGCGCGCCTACTTCCTCTCTCCAATATACAGAATGATTCCGACCATCGAGCATGACGAGCAATCCACCATCAGCCAGCGGACGAGCACCAACCATAATCCGACCACTGTTCAAGAAAAGTGTCCACATATTCTTTGAGGAGCGTGCGCAAGTAAAGTTGCACTGCGTGTTCTCATAAATGAAGTCAGCACCGAATACGGTCTTGAGGAGATCACGAGCAGGAACCTGACCCTTATCAAGGATGCGTTTATACTCACTGATGCAGGCTTCAGCAGCTAGATGAGCCTTCGTGACGGCACCACAGACAACAGCAAGGGTAGGATCAGGACGCTCGGCGACGAGTTTGACAGACGTGAATCTGAGTTATGTTTTATTAGGAGACTATTTTACAGAGTCAGACTGGAAGCGAGACAAACCTTCTGATACAACTTCGTATCCAAATTCAGGTCAGCACCAGGGGGATCGGCTTCTATGTACAGCAGTTTTTCTAACTGGAGGAGGGTGACATCCAAAACCACTGACACATCCTCGCGCTGCAGCAAAGATGCAAGCAGGTATGAACCAAGATTACCCGTGGACCCAGTCAGGACCACCACGTGATTGCCTCGACTCAGACTGCGTCCATCAACAAGAGTGGCGGATGCATCTCTGACAGAGTCCCCCAACCCGACTGAATCATTGCCCTCGATCTCAGCCTGGACATCGACTGAACTTGGACTGTTCTCATGCCGTACTGCATGGACGACGCTTCTCGCGAGTTGGCGAATCGAAGGACTTAAAAGTACGATATTTTGGTCAACTGGTGGTGCTGATGCCCGGATATCGCAATCTGGTGGCGACCTGAAGGAGGAGATGATTCGTTTCCTGACGAATGTTGCAGAGCGACCAAAGAGATGAAGTCAGTAGAGCACGAGTCTTTATTGACCATTAAATCACCTGTCGAAGCCCTGAGTAAAAATTGAGAGGCTAACACATTGGGCAGCATGCATGCAAGGATCCAAGAGAATCCAAGAGGATCTGTGAGGGATCCAAGCATGAAGCAAACCCGCAGTGAAACTCCTGAGCCCATAAGATGGCAAATGAAAATAGCGTGCTGATGCCACGTCTGATTTGAAAGTGCTAAAAAAAAGAAAGATGGGTCCGTATCACCCGCTTCCCAGCCATTTGAACCAAGGAAAGTCTGCGCCCACTAGTCAAGTGACAACAAGAATCCCCCCTTTGGCACCAGGAAACTGGCAGTGACCACCGTGACCAAGGAAAAAAGAGGTGAGCATGCCAGTAAATCAACACATTGTGCTTACATAATAATCTGACCTGGGACTGCACCTGCGGCAGCTGCGTCATGGCAAGGGGGGATTATCGATTATCGATTATCCGTTACCCCTTGCCATGACCAATTTTCCGAACTTTGGGGATCAGTACTAGTGACTCTGGACACCGATCAACAACATTAATATTGTGACTCGGACGGTTCAAGCTCAGGCTAAGCTCAATGTAAACTCCTGACCCAAATTTAAAGAAGCTGCAATATATTATTAGATTCTAGTCATGTCTGGCACCGGTTTACTGATCAGATCGGATCATCATCGAGCAATTAGAATACTCAAGAACCTAGTTAATTAAGACAGGTACAGGAGAAGAAAAAAGGAAAGAAAAAAAGAAGAGGAGCAGAACAGGAAACAAAACGTGAGAAATAAATCCCATATTTATATAATATATTATACAAGGGACGTCAGAAAATTAACAGCTACAATTTCAAAGCAGCACACTGAGGCTCCTGAACTGGGCCGTTGAACGAGGTCAGCATACAGCCAGCCATTCAAAACTGAACGCACGTACCAAGTTCGATATTCCTTGTCAAACATTCAATTTCGCCCGTGACATCTCGAGATATGATTCCACTTGCAAAAGCATGTTCTACTGCGGAACACACTGTAAATCAGTCGACATGAATGAAATGGTACATACGTTCAGAGGCGCTTTGAGAAACCTATCAGCATCCTCTTTAATCCTATTTTCCCGCTCCAGTAATTGAATTGATGCTGGACGTGTCACTAAAGTTGCAGAAGTCGCATTGAAATTCCGAGCCATGGGCATCATATTAATGGACATGTCACTACCAACCCTTATAAAACTACATGAACAGCGATATGACATAATGAGGGAGAAGCAGCTATTTTTTGTAGTCCTCCAGGGTTTTAAGGACCTCAGGTAACCCGCCGAAAACCGCTGCAAGGTTACCGGACGTTAGCCCGGTTCCCATGGGGCTACTGGAATCCATGATGGTACCCAGTTGGTGCGATATTAAGGATAAACGCGTGTCTGTGACCTCTGCGGTAAACGGATCAAGAAAACCTTTCTTGAGAAAGTTAGGAGTTAATCCAAATTTTTCTTGCCCGATGCGAGTTATCTCAATGCAAAACTACAAGTTAAGTTGAAGTTAGCAAGCTGTTTATGAGGAATCGGAGACATACTTACTTGAGTCATTAGAACCTTTTTTTCCTTCTTGGAAATATCTGCATCCTTCTCGCACCATGGGCCCCAGTGTAATAAGAGTCCCATTATTATGAGGAGACACCTAGTTGTTACATTGGTCACCTTTGGCGCGCCCAACTCTTTCAGCGCGGTCTTGACAAGCGCGAGATGCTCGTCAGAGCACGATGCTAGAAATCTGTCGATACCGGTCGCCAGTTCAGGGATAGTGGTGGGTGGGGCCTCTGCGATGTGTAGAGACTGAAAATCAGTCAGCAGTGCGGAAACATCGTTAGGTACTGGAAAGGGTGTTTGAGGGTTGGTGGGAGGGTTCGCGGTAGGGTTGATGGGGGGGGGTTGGTGGTAGGGTTGGTGGGGGTGGTTGCGGTAGGGTTTGTGGGAGCGGGAGCGGGTGGGGCTGGTGAGGCCGCTGTAGGGCCCTTTGGAGCCCGACAGCCACTGGTCACAAAAATCTTTTTATAAATTGTGTTAGCACGCTGATTATGTATTAACAACCAGAGGCTTACAGCAGAATTGGAGGAAATGTTAAGCTCCCAGCTTGGCCATGGAAGGGTTGTACCCGGGGTAGACTGGCCAAGGAAGAGGAAGTTGTCATTCTCTTTCAGCCATACAGCAAAATTAAGATCACCGGCATTTTCGAGAATAACACCTCCCAACAATTGGACGTTGGCGAGAGGAATCCTCAAAGTAAGACCCATCGGTTTGTGTACCGAGGTCTGAAATGTGAGCACGAAGGTGTTTGTTTCAACAAGTGCCATCTCGGGAAGGATATGAGGATTAGACAAACTATATGGCGCACGCATTGAGTGCTTATAAGAATTGCAACCCTCCTATTTCTTGGGCGAAGCTGAGGACTGATCGATCGATCAGTCCGCAGCCTAAGATCCGAACACCAGCGTCGATCGTCGTCTCTGGAAGCTTGAAGGGCTTGAAGGCTTGAAGTGGTTTCTGCTGTCGCAGTCGGCACAAGCATTGCAGAAGCCAATTGGAGCACGAGGCCGAGGGCATTGTGTTGTGTATTGTAGAGTAATGGTTACAAGACTTGAATGATTTGATAGAAGCCAGCATGATAGGATCGGAGGGCGAGAAGTTAATTCTCGGAAAGTTCCTACTATCAGTACATAATTCCCCGATTACATTAGTAAGGGAAGGTTTTGTCAGACACAAATGCGCCGGAGCCTCTTGGTGACCTATTTTCCCTGCAAATTCTCGGCATATTCCGTTCGGTTTATACTACGTATAGGCGACATCGAGGCGACATCACTGGCATTGGCCTTGCTTGATTCAGATATACCGTTACGCTCGCGTTATATAACCCCAGTAGCGCCAGTGTCACGTCACCGCCACTACAATTTAGCCTTTGATAGAAGGAACGACAGTCTTGATTCTATTGTCCGCCTGCGAGAATCACGCATCAGATAACTGATGCCCAGTGAAAACCCAACATGATGGGATCGGACGCCAACGGACGACATGTGAAAAATTCTTCTTGGGTAGGCCGCCAATTTCCCGAGCGAAACAGACTCCACTCGAGCCAGTCACGGTCCTGGCATTCCTCTCAGCGCCCGTGTCTCTCTAAGAACGAGTTTAAGTCTTAATTTTCCTTACTAATCGAACAATGTTGGCCTCTGTCGATGAAGCTGAAGTTAAAAGACAAGTCTTTGACTACATCATCATTGGTGCACTCAGTATTAAATATTAAAGCTTAAAGTCTGAACGTGCCATGGAGTAACTCACCATACTTACAGGTGGTGGAGTAAGAAGGAGCATATGTTGCTCTCAACTTGAGAACTGACTGACGGCTCCTAGAACACCGGTCTCGTTTTAGCGACACGTCTGTCAGAAAACCCATCAACGTCCGAGTCAGTGCTTGTCTGGGAGGCAGGCGGTGCTCATCTCGATGACGACACTCTCTGTCAGTCTGTCAGAATGCCCGTGAATTATCGCTGGTATGAAGTCTATTGGTGCCTAGGCCTCAACAACGTTAACATGGGTTGTACATGGGCAAGCCCTCATACGACTGGAGCTTTAAAAGTTAAAATTAAAACTGTTAGTATATCCGACTGTAGGCTTGTAATTGCAATTGAACAGCGCGAAGGAAACACAACATCACGCCAAAGACAGAATATTCACATGGCCAGCCAAGGTCAGTTTTACTTGGCTCTGAATAGTCTTTGCTGCTCCGACCGACGACTCTTGTTTATAGGGGAAAGGGATTTGGAGGCAGTTCCGCGATCAACAATCTGCTCTGGAAAAAGCCGGCGCTCAAGCACATTGAAGGTGAAATTCATTTACCTACATCGACACCTCCTTAGCACACCAACAGCATGGGGTGCGCTTGTCAACGATGGATGGACTTGGGAAAAATTCCAAACATATTCCAAGAAATCGGAGAGGTCAGCCATATTGTTGGGTGACGTTGACTAACTAATCAATTAATCACCTCCCAGGTTCGTGAAGCCGAACCATAACACCAGATATTTTGACGTATGATACAAAACTTTAATGACTGTTGCTCATCTTATCACAGGCGCTGCCGTCACGTCCTTTCCGCCAGTCATCTCAAGCCTCGAGGAAGATTTCAGAAGGTACCGATTGGAACCTAAAAATATCGCATTTCATCTAACATCGCTGGCCAGGCAATGGAGGTCCACAATGTCCCGACCATCCAAGACTCAATAAGTACTTTGTCATGACCTTGTCATATGTTCTGAAGGAGTTTTGCATCTAGTTCTCAGGGGCGGTAAACTCGCTTTATCCAATCACGACTTCCTCCACCTAATTTTCACTCAGCCCTGCCGAACATCTCCTTCTCTGTCCACTTTGGACCCATCAACCCATCGTCGATCTTACGCCACTAATGTGTGCGCCCTAAGGTTATCATCTCAGTTTATACTGAGTTATTCCAATAACTCAGATGTATTATCAACCGGTCGCAGGGCATACCAATTTAAAGGTCCTCGTCGAAGCCTAGGTAACTGAGATTGTTACAACGAATCTCAACGGAATAATCACCGCTACTGGTGTCAAATTTGTCAAAAGTGACAATACCTACACGGCAGATGTCGCTGGTGAAGTGTGCCTGACATCTGGGTAAGCTCTTTACTATTTGATAGTCACTGCAGCTGAGAATTCCGTCAGTGCTATCATGTCTCCGCAGGTGTGAAAACTCTATGCGTCAGCTGCCTCAATACCGAATAAATTTCAACCTAGATACTCGAGATGTCTGGTATCGGTGATCCTGCTGTTCTTGAACGGGCGGGATTCAAGGTGAAACTTGACCTCCCTGGTGTTGGAACGAATGTCCAGGAACATCTATACAGCGGAGTAACCTTCGGTGCATCGCGGAATACTGACCCAGTTTGTGGCCACTGACTCGCCCTGGTGCAGAATTGACGAATCACTTCGTGGGTGAGTGAGAGGTGAATACCTTTGACTCTTTTGCCACAAATCCTGGCTTGCATAAAATGTTGCAGTAAGACAGATTAATGATCAATCGGATCACGACCGCTGACCAAAACATTACTAGTGCAAGTGGCAAAGGTGCTTTGAACCTCCACATCGTTGACATCGTGTTTGTTTCATTGGCTGATATTTCACCTGAACTCAATGCAAAAGTAATCGCAGCCCCGCAATGCGAGGAGAAGGATGCGGGACTCGCCGTGCAGTACAAGCTACAAGCCGAGCATCTTCGGGAGAAGGTCCCAAGTCTCGAGATCCTATATCAGAGTCGCCGACTTGTTGGTCATTCCGCTCCATGTTGGCAGTCACACTCAATGTGAATTTATTGCTTCTTCTTGCTTCACCACACCCCCTAGCGTCGATCTTACAAGCTGTGGCATATGTCATAGCAGAACGAGGTATGCCCCGATTCTTTCTGTAATCATCGAACTGAGCCAGTTTATGTTGTGCAAGCGCAATGAGATCGTAGTCACATGTACTAATAGACACACTTACTTCTTGAGATCTCATCTTAGTATGTCCATCTTCCATGGTATGTCTCATAAAATGAATCACGATTCGAAACTATGATGCTTACACGTCATAAGATAAATATACCAATCCACTCATCCTCTCGCTACAAGCTGCTGCGGCCCTCATTTCCATTCTGTGACACTTCCCTAGCCCTGAATTGGAGTTCTGGTGCAATCTGTTCAGATCTGGGAAGCGTACAAACTTGAAACGCTTTGGGGAACCTTGCAAATTTAGTCGCGAGTAAAGTATTGAGAATAGACCAAACTGAGGGAACATCAATCACAACGCAAGGCAAAGGCAAGGATCTGAAACTCACGAAGACTCGCACGATGTCTATGCTGCTGCTGTATCACTCAAGAACCTCGTTGTTGTGTTCCTCGGAGACTCTTTTTGAATAGACCCCAGAAACGAGAGCGGTTGTCCTTGCCACACTTCGAGGCAATTGTTGAGTCCTTGAGATCGTCCAATGCTTCATGACATTCACTCTGTGGAATAGCACTGCCAGGCGTGGTCATCTGGCTTGGTCGGCCGCTTATATTTCACTTGGACTTGGCTGGTCCTCCTGCACTTCGATTTGGGCCTCGCTGGGACAATATGAACATGCTTCACATTGTGACTATGTAGAACTTACGCAGCTAAGGCCCCCCCAGGTGAATTATTGTAAGTACACGCCTGTTGATCGTGTAAGGAGGGTGCAAAAGATTTGGGGCAGAAGCGTTCACATTCCCGGTGACATTGGCAGCTGCATCGTCAACGGTGCAGAAATTTTCTCCCCAATGTATTCCTGTCGCATAGGGCACCAAGAGTGGAAGAAATCGCAACTTACTCAGCGAGCAGTAGTAGGGTATCATTTTGTGGGGGAGGGTGATCGTGAAAGCGAGCACTCTGATCATGGGCGCCATCCGTGTTGCCCTCTTGTAATAGTCTTTGGCTACAATTTGAAGTGATTGATGCACTCGACATGAGTACTAGTATGATGTAAGGATAGAGGGAATAAACTAAGGCGTTCGGCCTGGGTAATCCCATAGCAGAACCAGAACCGGTTCAGCCTAAGATTATCAGGCAGTAGTGGAAATTATGTAATTAAAGGTGGGCTCTTTGATTACGCAGCTCGGGTATCTCCGGGGATATCGGAATCATGATAAGAAAAAATGGGAGGAATGAGCAGCAAAATGATCCGAAACGACAAGCAAAAGAGAAATTGCATGTAACATTGTTCAAGTGTATTTCTATGACTGAAAGTGTGTCGAGTAACCACGTATCATGTACATATATCATGCAAATAAAACGGGAGGTGAAAATCCACGAGTCGGGGATGGAAGATTGTACCGTTACCGATCTATAATGCGGACATCCACAGCAGCTCCATGCACCTCCCCAATAATGCGTAATCTGGCTCATCTTCAAGGCTAAGGGCTACACAGTGCTGGGCAAAAACTTGGCATGAGTGGGGCAGACTGCCACAAAGCGCAGCTGTTAACATCCCTTCTTTGACGCCCATCTGTTGGGTTACAGACTCAGAGCAGTCGCTCCAGGGTAATGAACCTGATACAAAATAAACCATGATGTAAGCGAGAGACTCGAGATCGTCTCTTCGTGACAACCCTGTTGGATTTAACTTAGGGAGGTGTAAGGACCATAAGGAGTGACTCACTGTCTCCGCGAAGCGCGCGGGGAGTTGCCCAGTACGGGGTACATACTGTAGCTCCCCCAGGAGTTGGGTAAGGCTGAAGCTGCTCGAAATCAATTGCGCATACTCCATAGATTCTTGATTCTGAATAACAGAAATTGTCAGGCTTGACATCACCATGGATGTGGCCTGAGTTGTGAATTTCCTTAAGGCGCAAGACCTACTCATATAATAGATGAGTAGATATAATAGTGAGTTAAAGTAGCTGTTACCATGCCCCAAATAATCTTCGCCGCAGTTTTAATTGACAGCTGTCCTGATCGAAGAGTGCTGAGATCAGGGCCCACATCTTCTAGGACCAGGTACGACCAATCCCTACAACGTCCATGGTCAAACACCTTAGGCACACCGAGACAAGTGCTCCGGATTAGAGCGTAATTATCCAGTTCTTTCTGCTGGAGACTCTGCTTGGAATGGGGAATGAACTCGAGTTTCATATAATAAGATTTGTTCTTCCATCGTGTGATCCCGCAGATTTCTACAGTCACAATAGTTAAGTGAGCATCATTGACAATATAGTAAACGAGTAGTGGTCTTACTTCCGCAAATTTTGAGGCGGTGGATATCAGCATTTGGAAAGAATTCGTAATGGCTTATGCGGGAAGGGATGAACCACTGACCCACACTCCGAATGCCTTCGCATCTTAGCAAAAATATGAATCCCGTCCCGTTTACTTGTTATACAAACCAACTCACATAAGGGATAGGAATTCTTCCCCGGCTTCTTGAACTTTTGGAGCGGTAGCACCTAGGTTGGGGGGCGACGACATCATTGAAGTAATGATATGAATTATCTGAATTCGGGGAGCTTTCAAGATTGGATGGTGAAACCAAAGCTTGCTGCTGTGGGTGGGATAGCGTGCGGTTGAACCCAGGGTATCATAAGCCATTTAGTTGGCCGATTTTATTTCTCCGTAAACATCAGTATTACGTAGTAAATGTTATAATGCGTGAGTCTGAAATAGGTGACTCGGTAGTAAGTTAAACTCTGCCTCTATCGATATCCAGATCGTCGAGTCTAAAGATCCGGATTTGAATTTTGAGATTTGAAGGATGCTTGCAACTACGTAAGCTTAAAATTTTGTTGAGTGCCACTCACCTCAGAATGACTTCTTTGTTGCTTGCCATCGAGTGATGGAACATCCGATAACATGTCGGGAAGCGCCGATGTTACTGCACCAGCAGAAACCATAAAGGCACAGTTAACCACCAAGAAAAGCAATGGTATGACTCAGAGAACCCAATCATGGGCAAAAGGCGGACAGGCGGAGTCACTACTCTGTGTCTGGAGATATTATTCGTGTGTCACGGACGTGTCGAGGCCCTATACGTAGTATAACATTTGTGTAGGAACTTTCCGAGAAATAACTTCTCGCCCTCTGATCTGATTATGCTGAGCCGCTTCTATTAAAAAAAATTGTTAAGTCTTGTAACCTACTCTACAACACAGCATAATGTCCTCGGCCTCATGCTCAGATTGACTTCTATGATGCTGGTGCCGACTGCGACGGCAGAAACCACTTCAAGCCTTACAAGGGCCATGATTGGACGTTCAACTCTGACGTTCGGAGAATCGGACTAGCCTTTAGTACTTCGCTAAAATGTCATTATCATCACCGTTGCATCTTGCTTTCATTCTGAGTTGAGGGCCTGCAGTAACTCTGTCCGATGATTTCTAGATCCCTTCTGAATCCTTCACTGTCAAAATTATAGTTTCCGAAGTACCCGGCACCAAAGTATCCGTCTACTTACGTGTAAGTACAATCAGGCCATTACACAGACCTCAGCTTTGCCCGAGAGGTAGGGCTTTTATACGCAATCAATTGTGTGCTATCCAGCTCATTTAGTATCACTTCCCCATTAATTACCTCCCATATGTCCTCATTTACCTTGACCTTTGAAAACAATGAGGGAGCGAATCTAGCTCTGCAAGTTCCATTGGCAGATAAAGAACATTTGCAGACGTTGGTACAACAGCATGCAGGAAACCTTCCCTACACCATATGGGTGACACACCCGCCGTCCGAGGTGGCAGTGCAATTGGATGCCGCTTTGGATCCTCTCCCTTGGGAGGAATGGCAAAGCCGTATATCAGAAAAGTCTATGGTGAGCCTTTGGTTTTGAATATGTACTAACTAAACCGTGCTAACCCAAATTGTGGTAAAGGTCTGTATCACCCACCAGGGAGTTCTTCCCAAACATGATGCCCTCAAACCTGCGGTGCCACCCACTTTCTACATACCGTCAACAGCAGCCCCTCCTTCCCCTGTGCCCACTGCTCCTGCGCCGACTACGCCTGCGCCTGCGCCCACTGCGCCTGTGCCCACTACTCCTGCGCCCACTACTCCCGCGCCCCCTACTCCTGCGCCCCCTACGCCTGCACCCCCTATGAGCGGGATCTGCCATTTTCTCGACTGTTGCTCCCGTGACAACCCAGCTTCAATTTATGCAGCCTTGGAGTTTTTGTTTACAGCTCTCTTTTCATGGCAAGTTTAATGCAGTGTTTGAAGTGCCAATGGAACTTCGAGGGGGGATAATGCATTAAACAGTGTAGTTAGAAGATAGACGTTGTGCATTAATGAATGTAATTACAAGTTTAAATGATGCATTAGGCCACGGTTTTCAAGACTCACAATGCATTAATTCATGGTAGCCACCCCATCAGACCCTCTCTCACACAGTAAACTCTCCATGCTAGTTACGCTGCCTCTGGCACAATACATGAATAACAAAATTCTATAAATACTCGAGTATTGAGTGAAAGAGCGGCACCTTCTTTTTCACAGAGCACATAGCATGGTTGAATGCCCGGGCCGCCTTCATACATCGTCCATGACACTACCATCCTCCAAATTCTCAAACATCTTCTCATAGAAAGCGTCGACATTGTGTTTTGCAACAGCGTCATCGGCCGCCCACAGTGTGCCCATGACGCTCTTGAACCCAGAAAATTAGAGTCCAACTGCGAGGTGGATGGCTTTGTCGGGTGTCTTCTCATCACCGATGGCGGTATGGCAAGTCGATAAGAATGTGAACTCGGCGTGCGGAGTGTCGTTCTCCATGATGTCAAAGTAGCGTGAGGGGTTTGTCTCTCATGGCGAAACGTGAGTTGTAAGGCAGCTCGCGGTCCTGCTTTCCATGACAAGCGAGGTGCATCCATGTGTTGCGTTGCAAAGCTTCGAGTGCACCTGCTCGCGTGGCGTCGTCGCCAGGGAGAGTGATGGGGTTGGCCGTCGAGGGGACGAGCTTACAGACAAGCTCAAGCTCGCTGTTAATATTCAAGAGCGCCTTGCCTTGCCTTGCCTGGCACCTGGTTGACTTTGTCCGATCGCTGCGAAGGACTGAGAGACACATGTCTTCATCATCTACCTGGCTCTGATCAGAGCAGAAAGTGTCGGCGTGTAAGAACAGATGTAGATGTCCTCCAGATATAGTTCCTGCCCACGCCCATCTGGGTTCGTTCGAAAGGGGTGGGCTGCGTGGAGAGGAATAGATGTGAAAGCTGCATTTAGACACAGCCACATTCGAGAACGGTACTGTAATTTGAGATCACCCTGGAGTACGTTGACGATGGGTAGCATGATCTCGCCCCATACTATGCACAAAAATACTATTAGATCTGTCCTCGACTCCTTTGGGCCCATCATAGATGCTTGCTGTATCGCCCTAGTGAAGTCATTCTTGGGCTTCTCCAGGTCCGCAAGAGTGATGTGCGGGAAGCGAACGTGATGGGGCCCTCCTGATGTCGGGACAACGATGACACTGCAAAATTTCTTACTGGAAATGAGGATGATGACTGCCCCCTGGAGTGCTGCCACTTGCAAGTCTGTGTATGACGGCGGGAGTAGGAATCGCGAGAAACCTTCAAGATTGCGGATTTCATGGTAAGAGCCGCTGCGTGGTCAGGATCGCCGACCGGACACTGGTCCATGACCACCTGAAAATGCTCTACAGCATCGTTCAGGTGAGAGACCGTCTTGCTTGCCATGTATGTGGCAAATCGTGCGTGGCCCGCATCCATGTCTCGAGCAATCTCGTAGTCTACGATGGACTACATTAGGCGTTCTGTAAGCAAAAGCCAATAGCACAGAAGCTGACATCACTCACTTTGATTGTCGTCGCAAGCACAACAATAGCCTTTAGCGTGAGGGAAGGGTGGACACCACGAATGCATGGGAAGGATAGTTCTATGAGATGTTAGCAGATGTGCATGAATATGAAGCAAACCACTCACTGAAAGGCACATCTCCATGATCGAGCAGCTCATCCCACGATGTTTGGAGTTTTCCGATAACTTTCCCATTGCCTAGTATTCGACCGACCTCATAGGACGATCCTGATCTCCACTGATAATGCAGGTGATGGATGTAATGATCTGTAAACCGAAGATCAATTCTCGAATGGGACGAAAGCCTCCATAGACTTTACATGGTCACAGCATCGCCACACACTACATGTTCGTCCAGTGATAAGACTCTGATGAGTGATTTCCAACATCTCGTTGAGTCGACATTGATGGATATGTAGATGCATGAGCCTGGAGGGAACTTTAAGATTTTTTCTGCCGATAACTGTAGATAGAGCGTGTGGAATCAGGATCACGAAACAAACACGAAGATGATATGGAGTGACTTTCAAGTCTTATATATCGGCCTTCTAAGCCATGACAGTGCGATGAAGAAAAAAGACGGGGATTGAGGATGAGCTGGATGTTGGGCGAAACGAGTGGTAGGAGAAGACGGTGGTAGGAGAAGACGGTGGTATGGGTATGGGGACCGTGGATGAAGTTCAGGTGAGAGGGAGAAGTGGGCGAGGCCTTGGTGTATCATATTCCATGGTATGATTGCAGCAATCGCTAAAGCCAAAAGATGACCGACTAGCGTAAGCGGAGAAGCCTGGGGCAAATAAGTGGTTGGTCAGTCAGTACTAGTCAGTACTAGTCAGTCATCAACGAAAGTGGCATGCCAAGGTTGTAAGGGACATGGGAGTCTCGGAGCGTCCTGCGAACCTCAAGGTGCTTCTCTCATCGTAGGTTGGCATTTATCACTGATACGTATCACTCATTTAACATACATGGAAAATCCAATGTATATCATAGTGGAAACAATACAGACCGCTGAAAACGATGCAGACAGAAAAGCCGATGCATTCTATACAAGTCTGATTGAGGACAGCTGGTCGAGATGAAAGGAGCACAGCCACCCTTTAGTTTGTAGTTCAATCTGGTCCAAAACTCGTTGTTCGAATAGGGCTGCCGAAGTCCGGTTTCGTCAGGTACGGGTTGGGAGTTAACGGTGACAAGCCTAAAGAACGGGACATTAGCTATCAATTTCAAAATGTCATGAGTACTTGGTGAACTTCCTATCTGCCCGACAAGTGCAAGTCTCATCTTGAGGAGCAACGGGGTGTGCAGTCCCAGGTCAGATTATTATGTAAGCGCAATGTGTTGATTTACTGGCATGCTCACCTCTTTTTTCCTTGGTCACGGTGTTGAGAATACATGAGCAAGCTGACGAGATTCAGCCACACCGATCGGATTAAGTAATCGTCTGAGTTCTACGTAGTATTAATAGCTCGACGGTGATATCTGAATTGATGGGACTCATTGCACCACCCGTTCCTGACTGATCACACGCAAAATCAGAATCCAGACTTATTTTATTAAAACATTGCGCACTATCTATACGATCTACGTATATCGCATCTTAACACACGGTGGTCACTGCCAGTTTCCCGGTGCCAAAGGGGGGATTCTTGTTGTCACTTGACTAGTGGGCGCAGACTTTCCTTGGTTCAAATGGCTGGGAAGCGGGTGATACGGACCCATCTTTCTTTTTTTTAGCACTTTCAAATCAGACGTGGCATCAACACACTATTTTCATTTGCCATCTTATGGGCTCAGGAGTTTCACTGCGGGTTTGCTTCATGCTTGGATCCCTCACAGATCCTCTTGGATTCTCTTGGATCCTTGCATGCATGCTGCCCAGTGTGTTAGCCTCTCAATTTTTACTCAGGGCTTCGACAGGTGATTTAATGGTCAATAAAGACTCGTGCTCTACTGACTTCATCTCTTTAGTCGCTCTGCAACATTCGTCAGGAAACGAATCATCTCCTCCTTCAGGTCGCCACCAGATTGCGATATCCGGGCATCAGCACCACCAGTTGACCAAAATATCGTACTTTTAAGTCCTTCGATTCGCCAACTCGCGAGAAGCGTCGTCCATGCAGTACGGCATGAGAACAGTCCAAGTTCAGTCGATGTCCAGGCTGAGATCGAGGGCAATGATTCAGTCGGGTTGGGGGACTCTGTCAGAGATGCATCCGCCACTCTTGTTGATGGACGCAGTCTGAGTCGAGGCAATCACATGGTGGTCCTGACTGGGTCCACGGGTAATCTTGGTTCATACCTGCTTGCAAGCCATCACTGCAAATGCAGAACCTGAGACCCCTGTTGAACTCGCCGTTACCGCACACGACTCCATTGCAGCTGACTCGGAACCGGTCACCGTCCCTGATCCTGAGCCCGCCGTTGCCATTGAGATGGATCTCGTAGCAGTAGCAGAACCGGAACCTGCCACTGTCGAACTAGAAGCGCCTACAGCAGTCGATCCAGAGCCTACAGAACCCGAAGTCGAATCTAAGGTGGTGGAGACTGTCCAGATCGATGTCGAGCCACCCAGCTCCAATGCGTCATTCGTTGAGAACAAGGACATTAGGGTGTACCATGAGAAGCACGTCAGAGATGGGACGTGGACTTCCTTACCTGTGCCCGGCTCAGTGCCAATGCGAACAGTGGATGCACGGAGGACAGAGCCAATGTAGTTGGGCTGCTGGTTCCCTCCTTGGTGTGCCAGGACATCCGGTGCCTGTTTGCGATGATGGTCGCGCAGAGAGTGGAACCATTGTTGCCACCTAAACCAATCATCATAAGTCCGTCGCGCGTCCATGTCAGATGGTAGTACAATTCGAAACTGATAGATGACATACCCAGTCTTGCCAACCTTGCGGGTTGTTTGGAACTCATAAGGCTTGACAGTAGGCAAAATAGTGAACTGGCCATCTGAGACCACGACATCAGCACCACGGTTGAGGTACTTGGCGGTGATATGATTGTCGGTGTGAACGGTATTTTCAGATTGGACGGTGATGTTGTTGGGACGACAAACGTCGGTCGGATGAACTGGAACGATTGACTCCAGAGACACTTCAAAGACAGACTTCAAAGACAGAGACACATCAAAGACACTTCAAAGACTTCAGATCTTCAGACCCTCTCGATAACATCGCTGCCAGAGGTGTGTTTCGAGGTGGTGTTGGAATCAACAAGACAATACTGATGAAGCGCATCCCATAAATCTGCGTCACTGTGTTGGGAGAATGGATCCAGGTTGGACCGGATGGTCCCTGTGGTCATTCAGCGCTTCAAACAAGAGCATGTAAATGACCGACACCGACCGCTAAAGAGAAGAGGCTATCGAGTTCGTACATCAGCCCTGGTTTAGTTGACCAAAGAAAACTTTACAGACACCTTGTGGGATGATGGAAATCCTGGAGCGGAGGTCTTTGAGACCAATTGTAGATATATCGACACTAGAAAGGGTGAAACCCGATCTTCATCATGAGCGACGACCAATGCACCCATCGACAGTGATGGAACCACCAGACAACTTGACGATTCAAAACAACGCAAGCATCAACAAAGATTTTCCCGCACCAGTCCTGTCCGACGGGATGCCACGTCAGTACACATATACAGGTCAAATGAATCACTGGCTGACCTTCCAACAACACCTATTTTCTCTCCTCCTTCGACTTAGACCGAGATGCCCATCAATACGTTGGGAAGGACAGGTCTATATGCCATCTTGACATCTTTAAATTCGATGGCGCCATGCTCGGGCCATTGCGCCAGGGGCTTATGAGCTTCTATCTCATGTGGTGCCTCCTGGGGGATCGTTTTGCCATTGAGGTACTCCGCCACTGCAAGAGAGCAAGATGTAAGGGAGAGTGGAGGTCTGATGGAATTTGCGACTCACATCGTTCCACTGCGTTCATGTTATTCTAAGTAAACGACATTGAATAGCCAGTAATGTAAGAAATGGAAAAGGCTACCTCGACGTCAGCCGTTTGTCGGGTCACCATGCCACACATGAGTGACAGCATAACTTTGATATGAAGACGTTAACATCGTAGACTGTTGTAGAAATTGGAAATCCCACTGGTATACATTAGTACCGGCCCTATCTGGGCAGCATTGATCCCGGAGACGTCGGTCACTGCGAGAAGAGCGACCTATCGACGTAGTAGCATTGGGCGGGCCCGAGATATTTCTGATTAAGTAGTCACTCACAAATAACACCAATACGCCTCCCATGAAGTCCAGCCTTACCGTAAGCCATCTGGGGGAGTGATGAGTCGACTCCTGCTATGATATATGTATAACAGTACTCACATTTCATCAGTAAAAAACCAAAATCGTGGGAGTTTCAGTGACAGCTATATAGCACTATATAGGTACAGTAGCGCTATGTAGCTGTCACTAGGGCTACAGGAGGCTCCAGGAGTAACCTGGAGTGATGGTAGCAAATATTTGTTCTGTAGCATGCAGGAGTGCTGTAGTAGGCTGTAGTTCACCGTGCTACAGGTAGCTACAGGAGCTACTGGCTTTCAAGATCTTCATACCACTGCATACAGCTTCACCAGCAGTAATATTCACTAAGACAAACATATTTAATACATGAAACAATGTAGCAAGCTTTAGAATAACAATATTACTGCATAGTAGCTGTTGTGTTGTGAGCAGATGTTCAACGAAATTTCTTCCAAGTCCACGGTGGCTTGTTAAATACTATTATATATGATATATTCTAACAGCCCGATAGCCTAATGGTATGTGCGTCGTCGCATAAATGTTGGGTGAGAAAGTTAATGGTCAGTTCGAGAGTTCGAATCCCCTTGATTGATTATTTATTTTCATGCACACACCTTTTGCAGTAGTTGCCTGTAGTGGTGCTCCTACGAACTACAGTAGCACCTGGTAGCACTACATAGTACGACATAGTTGCCTCACTTGCTACATACTGGGCAGGTGGCAACCGGGCTACACGGACTACCCTGACTATATAGCACTACATAGTGAGCCGGCATTTTCCTGATGTTGGTTTGTGACTACGAGGTATAGAGCTCTATCCTCCAGATCGACATAGTGTCTTTTGGCGTCAATGAACCGCTTCATCTTTCTGTAGCTTCGGATGGTAGGAAGTCCTGTCTATGTCTCGGAAAAGTGGGCATACAGAAGTGAATGAAGCATTGCTTCTGATGGCCGATATCAGTGGCTTGCTAAGTCAAAAAACACAACAACGAACCTATGCGCTTGACCTCACAGGAACTGGCTTGATAGAAGGTAGCAAAATAGCTGTAACAAATGCCGATGAAGAAGACAGCAATAACTGGGCAAGTTGAGCAACATTCTCGCAAATAATGGTGTCCATATACTGACCAAAGTACGGTTCAAGGATGACAACAATGACGATAGAGCCCATGATATTGGACAGCGAAAGGACAACTGGATCCCCATGGTTAGTATCCATGAGCGAAGTGTGCGACTATTTTACCCATCCTCACTGCGTCTGGGCCATGGATAAGTAAGATTTCACCACACGGCAACAGAAGACTCGCGTCCTAGTTGATTATCGACACCTGAGCGAAATGTTTCAGCAAAGCATTACATATCACAAATTAGTAGGATACCAACTGTCGATGTCTTTGCCCAAAACACTCGGGATTCGAGCCATAGGCTACTATGACGATGTCAGGGTCGAAGTGCAGAGCACGAGCGATGTTGACCTGGGCGGAAGATATACATCGAGTCTTTGAGGCAAAGACGCGCCGCAAACTCACTCTCTGCTTCTGGCCGCCGCTGAGATTGATGCCCCTTTCTCCGATCTGTACTAGAACATAAGTAGCATAATGAAGTTGAATTCGTCCGCCATACCTCAGTTAAATCCCCATCTGGATCAATATACTGAAATCACGTCTACAATAAAGGAAACATACCCGTTTGCCTCCGTGCCTATAGTATCATCACGAATGTAGTCATAACCATCGTTTAACGCCCGCTGTACTATCTTTGATGATTCCTCCACAAAGTCAAGGAATTCAGGTGCACTGAGTATATGCGAATGTTCCTCTTCGGTAAGCTCTATATTTTGCTACTCAGTTGTGGAGCATCAGAAGAAAGGATACCACGTACCGCGAATCTCCTGCTCGATGTCCTTCTCGAGTTGTACACTCTCCTCCTCAAGCTCCATATCCTGTGCAATATGCTCCGCCTCCAACTCACGCTCGCGCAATATCTATTGTCGAATATCCTCTTCAGATACATGGGGAGTCTCTGTCTCAACAGCGGTCGTTTGGACTTCTTTATTGTAGATAACGCGTTCCTATGAGGGAGGTTTCAGATGAGAGCAGAGTGGAGAAGATGAGATTGGGACTGCTTATGCGTTGTGGTAGCTCGAATAGTTCTTGCTCCACATCTATAAGGTTTGGTATGAACCGGGAAAGGAGAAGAGACAAGGGCTCAGGTCATGTTGTACGTGTATATAATTATACAAAGCGCTGAGAAAGATGGCCCACGCCAACGTTGAAGAGGAAATGCAAGTCTCAGAGCGTTCTGTGATGCTTGCTGGCCATTTAGCACACTAAGGCAAAATGTTGAATTAAGTGTATTTCGTCAGTTAATTAAAACCATACAAACCGCTGAAAACGGCGCACAGAAAAATCCGAACAATGCTATACGAGACCGAAAGAGCTGATAGGCTACGGGGGAGGATCGAGAGCATTCTGGAAACACCAGCGATTTGTGAGAGCATGACGGGTCGGATTCAGATCCAATATGAGACATAGCATAGTTAAATGCAGGTCAGAATGAGCAAATAGCCGCACAAAACGACAATCAAATCTTTACGATACCTATTACCTGGGGCAGCAGTATCAACGTCTGTCATTGAATGATTCGGAGCCGGCATCTTTTAGTGAGCAGCGGCTAGACCAACAAATGTGTCGCCCACTGGCAGTCCGTTTATTGATTCGTCTACTTTGCCACAGATGGCACGATAAATCTATTCAGGTGAGCGAAGCCGGTGAACTTGGAAACACCGTATACTTACTTCAGAGACGCCATCTTCGGAAAATTGGTTATGGCAAGGGGGACCGTTTTACCCCTTGCCATGGCGAAGCTGCCCTCGGCCCTTTCCAGGGCTTAGTCAGCACGTAGACTAGGTTCCTGCATGTTCGTAGCTTAGCATCATCATCACACTAGCTAGCTGGTTTCCTTGCTCTTGGCTGAGGCCGCTGGCCCTGCTCCATCGGTACGCGAGGTGAGCACATTATGCTACTCACTTTTTTGCTGTCATCACTAAGGTTGGGATATACATTTTCCACTCAGGCTCGAGTTTGTACCCATCATCTCGCGGACTTCCCTCGTTGTTACAGTGGGTTTGCCCTTGTCATTACGATGTGGTTCAAATGACCACCAGCAGGGTGTCGTTTTCCTCGACGGAGGCCGATACCACAGAGTATCGTGGCCTGTCTTGCCTTTTTTCTTGTTCAAGTTTGAAGTATGTTCACGATTCTTCCGTGTCGATAGTCTGCTACTCAATTCTCTGCCTTGCTTGTCCCCTGTCGATCTACAGATACTCCAGCTGTGTGTGCGTAGTCCCGCTCAATGCAATGACTTTGACCCCTCGAACCTCATTATCTCAAACCACGATGCTTTCAGTGGATCTCTGGGAAAGGTGATCAAACGCGAGCGTTCAGTGATTTCTATCTACCAATGGCGGTAATCGAGAAGTTGGCATAAGAGGTTAATCTTAGATGTAGCAGTTGCTGGAACACCGACCGTTTCAGTCCACTATACGAGATATGTCCATACCTCTTATGCCACGCTAACCAGTCTTTTTCCGGATTTTCTTGTACAGAATGTACACGAGTCTTCGGATATAATTGAGCTCGTGTATCTAACTTATACAATCTGTTAATCAATTTTCCTTTGACTTAATAGTCCATCCCCCTCTAACATGAAGAGTGACTGAACTATCTTTCATTTGTGCGCCTCCTCCTGATTCTGAGTCTCCTCCATCTCTATCAAGTTTACTAATTGATATGAGATTATTAGAAGCACGCGGGACATGTAGGACGTTGTAGGAACAAGTTCCTGGTTAGGCTTACTTTACCCCTATTTACCTTGCTTGTGTTGGCACTTGGATAGCTTACATAATCATGTTGGTCTTTACCTTTACCCTCACCTGGAGTGACTTTGAATGCAGTTTTCCTTACTCTCTCTCCCTCTCTGAGCTCTGAGCCTGGTCCAGAAACCCTGGGTCTTACACTGTCAACACTCTGACATAGCAGCTAGGCAGACAGACCCAACACATCAGATTCACTTCAATCTGAATTGTTGTACCCACAACGTTCCAGAACTTCGATCTGATCAACTGATTGCCTATTTTACTAACGAGTTCTATAGTACCACGCCCGAGTAGGGATTCATTCCCGATGCCATTCACTCGGTGTCCATTTAGTGGCACATAATCGGTCAACGCCGATCAAATCTTTGTTAAGTGGGATGATGCTCCCGAGTCGGCATACCAATCATACCAGGAAAGTCGCTCAAATTCATCCTCGCCTACATTTACAATCTCTTCAGTCATATAAGCGACGTCTTCAGCAAGTCCTGTGGGATACCTGGGGACGATGATACCTGGGGACGATGATGCTGATGGATCAGTGTCCCGAAAGTCAGGGACAGCCTACAGCACCGCCAATACAGTGCCGGCGAAAATACAGTTTAGCGCCCTTCACCTGCTACATAATTGCCCTGTTACATTGTGTTAGTAAAATTTCCAGTCCCATTCCCTTCCGTTTGACTGTCACTCACACTCGTTTTAAAAAAAATCCGCACGGGTCCCTATCCCTCAACGCTCCTTTATTCTTTCGAGTCCTACATATTCTGAGTCTCAAAAACAAAGAAATAATAATAAATGACTTTACCTCGGCAAGATCAAGGTAAGTGAGTATAAGCAACTCGGCAAGTGACTGACTGTGAGGCTTGACAGAAGTGTGTGGTGCCAAGAAAAAAGCTATCGAAAACGCAGGTGAGCGACCAAAAACACCATCAATGAATCAAACTGACCTGAGATTCAGTTTGGAAGCAAGACAAACCAAGACGCAAGAATGCAACAGCGACATCAGGTCAAGACCGTCCTGCCCCAAAAAAGAGAACTGACACGTCACCGGCGCCTACTCCAAGTCGGAACTCCAGCTCCACTGGCAAGTCAAACAAGACTCCTGTGGCATCAAAAAAGCCATCAACACTGAGTCCGTTGATACACTTAAAACTGGTTTATGGTACTTACAGTACTGGCAGAGCGTCAGCGCGACATGAGCGACTCGGATGATGGTATCTTGCAGGAAGCTCCACTGATGGTTGATAAGCAACTTGAAGGTCAGCCTACGCCATGACAAAAAAGGAAGTCCGAGTCTCACATGATCATCGTGTGCAGTGCAGCCTTATCGACAACCAGCAAAACTCTGCCGAACTTACGCTATGCAAGATGTGGCATGGCCTGAAGATGAAGATGAGCAGAGTGCTGACTCTGATGCCAGGGACAAACCAAGTCGGGACAGCTTACTAACCGATTCAGATGATAACGAGAGCAGTGCCACTGACGGCGAGGATGAAGATTCGGCTGCGATGAGGCTTTTCGATGAGGTCAGCTTTGCTATATCATATGCTTGTGAACTCACTGTAACGTTTGAAACTTTGAAGGTCGCGTCGGTCGTCACCAACAAGCAGGTAGCATCGAAATCACGTGGCACTTCAAAAGCCGAGTTCAAGGCCCGAGATCACAAACAAGCGGCAGAGACTCCTACCTGGGCCAATATGGACGCCGAAGATGCAGTTTCGGAGTCCATTGAAGATCGCTCGACTGGTGGCGACTCGTCAGAATTTCAATCTGACAACGAAGGCACTGCACCGACTCGGAAACTTACCTCTGACGCGAAGACTCGGAGTATCGCCTCACTCGTTCAAACAGAAAGCGGAAAGGTGAAATTACTTGATCAGAACTTAGAGACTCGCAGATTTCTTCAGTCCGCAATCATGGAAGTCAAGTGCCACCTTTTTTTCGCCAATGGCTATCCTGAACTGGTCGACAAGAACCAAGTTGTGCTGGAAGCATTGATAGTAGTCGCTGAAAAATGTGGTGTGCATCCGATCAAAGAACGTCTTCAATCGGACGAACGGTATGCGTCACAACTTGGTAGCTTGGTGAGTTCAATTTGCACCCTTTCTTATCAGTCTCTAACCATATGCGAGGTGGATGCTCGTGTTCCAATATTGCGTCGTGAGCTGAAGGAAGACGCATGTGCGCATGCCGATGGTTACTTTCGCCTTGGACACACCGACACTGGGAAAGCTGCAGCGAGAAGGCTATTGGAAAAGCTTGCATATATATACGCCCTGAAGTTTGATGTGAGATCTCTCCCCTTGCCTGTACTACTGACATTGTTGAAATTATACAGATCAATAACGAGGCTTCGCCCATTGGAAAGAAGCCCTACCAGGGTGAACTCTTAATTTTCTTAATATATCAGCAGCTCTTTCATAGCTCGAGGTCTGTTGCCATCAAGTTCGTGGAACGCTTCGTCGAAATCGCCAACAACAAAGGCCAGCGCCCCGAAGTTCCTATCCCTTTGCTGGCATTGGTTGCAACTGCGGTAATGTGCTTGTCGTCATTGTATGGATGTGCCGTTTAACTTGTTGCAAAGGTGTACGCAGCACTTCTGTGGAAGTCGCAAGGTTCACCATCAAAATTCAACTTTACAGGAAATTTATTCAGCGAGACCTACAACTACCATGTCAGGTTCCTGGAAAAACTAAAGAAGGACGCACCTGCGAAATTCCACTGTATGATGGCCAACATCTATGAGGCTGCACAGTGAGTTCCACTTAGGTAGTATTCCCTCGATGCTCACTCTGCTTGCAGGAAGTTGCGATACAGCGGCACCGCTGCCAGTGGCCATGGTGCTGAGCTTGAAGCATTCGAGTTACTTGACCTCGACAATATGGAAGAAGACTGAATCATCCCCCGCTCGTTTCATGGTGTACAATATGGAATTGTGAAGCTGGTACATAGTCTCCCGGTTGGTCATAGCGCGCGCTGTTATTTAAATTAGCCTACTGCCCATATACCCATTTTTAATCAAATTTAATTTTGTTCTTGTATCTTATTCTGTCTGATTCGGTTGGAATCCTCATCTAAGATCAATCAATCAATTCTAACGGTCCCCCATCTATAAAGTAAGGCGCGATGGGTGGGAGCCGTCCTCGCCAGCTCGCGTGGTTTTCGCCTATTTTGGCAGTTTCGCTAAAGGCCACATGGGAACGCGTAGGTACGCTTAGTACGCTTAGCTCGCTTAAACCTCTTTTTGGAAACTCACGTGGTTTTCTCGCGTGGTTTTTTCAAGCGCCAACTCAGTTCTTCGTTCATACATGGGCAGCACCCCTGTGTTGCACAATTTATGTAGCTGTGTGTATATATATACATGATAATTATTAAAAATTCAAATGTGAAGGTAGTAATGGAGAATCAAAATTTCTGGGGTCAGAAGGAACACTGATTGCCAGTGGCCAAACATGGAAGTTGGTTTAATAGACAGAAAATATTTATTGAAATTGAAACAAATGAGAGTGAGAGGAGATGAGAATGGGAGGGAGGACAGGAGAACTGGAGATTGGGAGAATGGAAGAACAAGGGAACTGGAGAGCGAGAGATCGGGAGAACAAGAGATCAGGAGAGCGAGAGAACATGAAAACAGGAGAACAGGAGACTGAGAGAATGGGAGAATGGGAGAGCAAGAGAATGGGAGAACAAGAGAATGGGAGAGTTAGAGAGTGAGAGCTCGGGAGAACGGGAGAGCAAGAGATTGGGAGAACTGTAGAGTGAGAGATCAGGAAAACTGGAGAATGGGAAAACTGGAGAACGGGAGAACAGGAGAATGGGAGAATGGGAGAACTGGAAAACAGGAGAATGGGAGAGTGAGAGAATAGGAGAACAGGAGAATGAGAGAATGGGGAGACGGGAGACAGGAGATGGGAGATGGGAGACAGGAGACAGGAGACAGGAGACAGGAGACAGGAGACAGGAGACAGGAGACAGGAGACAGGAGACAGGAGACAGGAGACAGGAGACAGGAGACAGGAGACAGGAGACAGGAGACAGGAGACAGGAGACAGGAGACAGGAGACAGGAGACAGGAGACAGGAGACAGGAGTATGAGAGAATGAGAGAATGGGGGGAACAGGAGAATGGGGGGAACAGGAGAATGGGGGGATGGGGAAATATGAGACGGAGATGGGAGAATAGAAGAACAGGAGAATCAATAAAATACGAGATGGGAGGGACAGGAGGACAGGAGAACAAGAGAACAGGAGAACAGGAGAACGGGGGGACAAGGAAATACGAGATGGGAGGAACAGGAGGACGGGGGCAGCAAAATGTGAGACAGGAGAACAACAGCACAAAATCTGAGACTGGCCCCTCAGCCAGCAGGATTTGTGCAATGTATGATAATTTTTATTTATTATACAAGCATACAAAAAACATAATTTATTTTAAAATCTGCTATGATTATTAAGGAGTTGAGGAGACAGGAGATGGGAGAGCAAGAGATTCGGGAGATTGAGAGAGCAAGAGATCAGGAGAATGACAGAATGACAGAACAGGAGGACGGGGAAATATCAGCCAGGAGACAGGAGAACGAGAGAACAGGAGAATGGGTGAGAGAACTGGAGAACTGGAGAATGGGAGAACAGGGGGACGGGGAAATATGAGACAGGAGAATAGAGGAACAGGTGAATCAATTAATTATAAAACAGCACAAAAATATGTGACTGGGGGGACGGGAGAATATGAGATGGAGAGAACTAATAAATTTTACTATAGTACAAAATGTGAGACTGATTCCTCTGCCAGCAGGATTTGTGCAATGTATGCTAATTTTTATTAATTATAAAAGTATACAAAAATTCAAATTCAAATTATGATCTCAAAAATACAATATAATTCAAAACTTGCTATGATTATTAAGAAGACAAGGTGCCGCAGGCACCTTGAGCAGAGCGCGAAGTGCTCTGCTGCCTTCCTGTGCTGAAGGCACAACGGGTGTGGACTAGTCTATAAAGTATGGCGCAATGTGTGGGAGCGGTCCTCGCCAGCTCGCGTGGATTTCGTGTATTTCGCTAATGCCACATGTTTTGCGCTTAGCTCGCTAAACCTCTTTTTAGAAATCTCGCGTGGTTTTCTTGCGTGAGAGAGAGAAAAAAAACCTTCTGGTTTGAGAACGTGAGAAAGGACCTTCCAAATTGAGAATTTCGAGAGGCAAAATTTGACGAAGTTCAACTTACAACCAAAACACGATATAGTGGACAGTGATCCGCACGCCTACTGCGCTCCGGGCACAACACGGACAAACAACACAGCTTTCCTACCATAGGGGAGTTGGTACGAGAAAAGCAAAATCATTACAACACTTTCATTACACAATTCATTACACAATTTGGCTGCTGCAACACAAGCAAATTGATTAGCTTTCTCGAGTGAAATTGCCCTCCCCTGCAGCCAAGTGTAACACACCTTTTTGTGGGTTTCATTATAAAAAATGATAGAAATGGGCAAAAATATGACTTGATTTATGTGTTCAGGCAACTCATTGCACTTGCTAAACAACAATTCGAATAATGAACATGGATCAAGATCTACCCGTCCTGTGAGTCACCAACTGTATATTGCTGCATGCAAGGCACACAATGCTAATCTCTGCATGTCACTTTGTGCCATTTAGAAATCAAGATCATATCACACCAGAGCGCGATCGTCACTCCCAACATGAACGCGACAGACTCAATCGGCTTCAAATGACGTCTCCCAGCAGACGTAATCACCGCCATGCTGCTCATGATAATCAGGACAGGCCCCCGCTTCCTGCACCACAGCCAAATTTTGTGCCGGCTAATACCTTTTGCATGGCAACCTCCCCCAGATTTCCCCCATCAACCTCTGCCAGTTGAGCAGTATCCCGGCTTGCCACGAAATGCGATTGCACGTGTGCAGCATGCTCATCTTCCGCCTCGAGTTGATTATAATGCGCGCTTGAACGAGCAAACAAATGCGGCTCATAACAACAGACACAATCAGCGTAATTTGTGTCGACAACAGGAGAGAGATGAGACAAGACAGCAGGCACAGGCAGAGCTTATGGCAGCTGGGATGCAGCCCCCCCAGCAACCTCACATCCCCAATGAACCTATTATTCCTCCACCACTCGAAGCAATCATTCCACCTCAACAACAACAACATCGATTTGCAGAGCCTGCTGATCAGGATGTTCAACCTGCCCCTCACATGTATGGCCCATTTCATTATGAGGGTCAAGTTGGTCCTCACAACTTCGAAAACCCGCTACGTTACTTTGCTCCAAACCCTGCACCACCTGTATTCGCACCACAGCCAGATCATCAACAATTCAACATAGAATTTCAGCATCATTTCCAGGCAGCGGAAAATGAGCAGATTAGAAATGACTTGCTTCAGAGGCATGCACAGGAGGCATTTTTTCGACAGCAGATTTGACAGCAATTACAGCAGGATGAAGCTGAGCGGAATGATAGAGAGGCTCAAAATGCTCTCCAACTGCAACAGCAGGAAGCCCAACAGGAAGCCCAGCGGATACATCAACGGGATGAGGAAGCCCTTCACCAGCAAGAGCATCAAATAGCCCACGAGGAGGATGTTCAGAGAGCAGGTCAACAGGCAGAAGAAGACCAACATCGTCATGAGCGGGTAGTTCATGAGCAAGAGGAGCGTCTAGAAGAGGCACTGCAAGAATACAATGATCCGGAATCTCAAGAGCAGCATGCTCAGGACGAGGAAAGAAGAAGGAACAGACGGCGAGAACGTCGCCAGCAACGCAATGCAGAGGATCAAAATATCAACCAGGTGTTCGCTCAACGCATTCCTATCCCTGACGGAGGCCGACCATACACAGAGCCTGATGAACCTCATTCTCTTGGTTCTCTTGATGCAGAGTGTCCCAACTGCCACGCATTGCACTTTCCAGCTGAAAGACTAACCGCCTCCCCCCCGACACGCCCACACTTTGGTATGTGCTGCTTGCAGGGCCAAGTCAGCCTTCCAACCTTTCCAGCATGGCCACCTGAGCTGCAGCAGGCATACACAGACCGAGCATTTGTTGATAATATTCGCAAGTACAACAGTGCTCTTACATTCACGTTGGTGGGTGTGGATCTTGAGCATCGAGCTCTCCAAACCTCTGGCCCAAATGCTTTTCGCATCCACGGATCACTTCACCACCTGATGGGCAGTCTCATTCCTGAAGCAGGTGTTCGGCCTTCATATGCGCAGCTCTATATTTATGACCCAGAGGAAGCCACCAACATTCGTGCCATGCGGCCTGAAAATGAAGGTCTGAACCGTCATGCATACACACCCATTTCTGAAGATGCAGCGATCCCAGCTAAGCAGTCACTTGAAAGAATGTCTGGCCCAAGATAGAACGTCTGCGGAGAGACCGGGAAGGCATGTCCGCCAAATATGAATGTAGGAACGGTGGAATTGATGGCATTGCATGGAACTGTGCAGATACAGACGTTTGATGAAATCGATGACGAAGAGATGGGTAACATGCTTACTTGTCCAGTATGTGTCCTCGCCTTCCGTGTGGGCTGTGGCTCCGGGTATGTTCGCGTAGTAAGCTTGTGCGATTGCATAAGACGTGATGACGAGAGTGGTCCCGGTGTCGATGATCGCAGGAGCGGCGTGCGACTCGATGACATCCTGTCCCAACCTCGAAATGCCATCCATCACGACCTGCCAGTAACCTTTCTGCGTCACAGGAATATACGTGAGCGTGTCAGAGCGGTATAGGCTCGTATTTGTTCCTCCGATGAGCATTTCGCTATCTCCTGGAGTAGTAGACTGTAAGGCTGACTTATAGTTCGAAGGGAATTGGGTCGAGAATAGGCGGGACGCGAGACGTGTTGTTTTCGATACGAAAACAGAGGTAACGAGGAAAAGTCTGTAAGGCTGCTGCTTAGAGGATCGTTTCGTGCTTTGAGCGGGGAATCAGAGTCTTGGATTCTGCCATAGTACGAGGGTACAGGTGCAGTATATAAGTGTTTGCGAACTGAACGATTGAACCGAGACTTGAGTAGGTAGCATGTGGAACTTGAAAATAAGTCGGCGAGACAAGGGGATGGAGGAATGTGAGCATGGTAGAGTGACGGAATAGATTAAAAGGAATGTAACCACGTGGCTCGGACACGAAGAGTTATGTTCTTCGCGTCGGTGAGTCACGTGGTCGGTGTTGAACACGTTGTTATGAGACACGGTCGGTGTGTAAAGGATATGTTATCCTTACATCACCTCCCAAGTTCGAATATCGACCGTCCGCGGTCGATCTTCCAACAAATAAACTAAAATATACTGCAGATAGGTAGAAGAAGTAGATTAGAAGGAAAAAAATGACTGATAACGCATCTGATGCTATTCGTCGATGAGTCCTTCGAGAGCTTGAGGGTTGATGAATTGAGTGACTTCGAGTGAGGTGGGCGAGCGAGGGTGATAAGGAATGATGCGAAAAGCTGCAAACTTCAGCTTGGAAAGGGATCCGTCAATTTCTGAGAGACGGTATGATCCTCCGAGAGAGCGCGAAACTACAATCATGGGCCCAAAATATCGAGGCTTGCACTTGGCGTTAGAAGCAGCCTCGATCTTCTTGTTGAGCACCAATACGAGATCTCCTGGTTTAAAGGCGTAATTGAGGATGGTGTTTGCGAAGCGGCGTTCAAAGTCGCGGATTGACGCGAAGCCGCTCTTGAGGAGGCGTTCATGGGCTATAGCGAGGTCGGCGTCGCGTTTGGCCAGCTGGCAGGCACGGAGCGCAAGTAAATCCGAGGTAGAGATGAGGGAGGATATGTCTGGGAGCATGAATGTTGCATGGACGAAGTCAAGTGGGAGGAGAGGTTCTACACCATGCGCTAGATAGAATGGTGAAAAACCCGTGGACTTGCGAGTGGTAACGTGATCGGCCCAAAAGACGTGGTGCGCGAGCGTTGGCCATTTGGTGATGTCGCCATTACATGCTTTGACGAGGGAGTCGCGAATAGTGCGATGCGATCGCTCGACGATCCCGTTTGCCTTCGAGTTGTACGCAGATATGCGTATGTGCCAGATACCGTACTTGGACGCCAACCAATCTAAGGCTGCGATGAAGGGCGTGCCGTTGTCGGTGACGATTTCCTCGACTCCTCCCCATCTACACAGGATCTCTTCAAAAAAAAATGCACCTAAGGTGCGTCCAGTCTCTTTTCGAAGCATCCTAAACTCTGGCCAGTTAGATAGCGAGCAGCGCGCTTGTACAATGTAGGTGTAACCATGCGCCGTTGGCATGTACATAGAATCTGCGAACGTTTTGCGACAGAGAGGAGCGGGGATCGAGATGGTGGGTGGGAGGACGACTTTCTCGACGGAGCGAAGTTGACATTGATGGCACGTCTTCAGGTACCATGTGAGGTCTTTGTCGAGCGAAGGCCACCAAAAACGATCTGCAATTGTGCGTCTCGTGGGGTAAAATCCACGATGCCCGAGTTCGTCGTGAGTTTGGGTGAGGATGCGAGCACGATCTGCGCTAAAAAGGACCAGTTGGTGGCGTCCGCTTGACTCCTTTCGCCACAGCTGGTGCCCGCGAATGAAAAATTGATGGGCGCGTTTTGTGAGACGAGGGCGATCTTTGACGGGGGTGTCGTTAGGGAATGAGAGATTGGCAAGGAAGGAGCGGATGAATAGAAGCTCGTGATCGAGGCGTTCTGAAGTTTCTGTGGAAGGGATGACGACATCGGGCGTGTCAGTTTGGCGTGTGGTGAGAACGAGTGCGCTGTTGGAGACGAGTGAGTTGTTATCGATGGTGCTTGCTACCCAGATTCCTGCGTCTAAAATTTCTTCTATCCACTCATCAGCTTCTTCTGCGGTGTCTTCTTCGTCGTCATGCGGGGTTTTGCGTCGACGGGAGAGTCCATCGGGGCCAGCGTGCTTGGCTCCAGGTACATGGCGAAGTGTGAAGTTGAAGAGTAAGATTCCCGCTATCCAGCGGTTAACGGCGGCGTTCGGCTGGATATCCGGATTATTCAGCATTCCTTTTATGTACTTAGCGTCTACTTCCACTACAAGGTCTTTTACCCCTATAATCCAGACCTTCATGGCCTTTAGCGCCCTAAATAAACCGTAAAGTTCGATTTTTGACTGCGAGTATCGTCCTTCGCGATCGTTCCAAGTAATGGAACCGAAACGAGCCGGTCGCCGTCGTTTTTCGTCGTCAAGTTGCTGCAAGATCCAACCGCAGGCTATGTGTGATGAGTCGACAGCGAGTATCACCTCGTTGGTAGAGTGATAATCGAGGGGTCGAATAGCGGGAGATTGGATGATGGCGTGTTTCAACGTGTCCATAGCGTACTGCGTGTCTTGAGTCCATTGGAATTCGATATTGGCGTGTGTGAGGATGGTAAGGGGACGCGCGATTAGTGCAAAATCTTGAATCCAGTTGCGAACGGTGCCGATGGTTCACAGGAATCCACGAACCTCGGTTCATGTGGTGCAGGGGGGCCAGTTTTGGACTTTGGCGACTTTGGAGTGGTCGGGTACGCGACCCTCATATGTGCATAGCTGACCTACCACCAGGACTTCGGGGACACATAGGAACAACTTCGTGGCGGAAACGGTTGCGCCAGCGTGCTTGAGTCGGTGGAGAACGCGGTTGGCATCTGCGCAGTGTTCCCATACGAATCTGCGGATGCCCGTGTTCTCGGGGATGCATTCATACGAGCCATTGGGCAGCTCGTATCGGGTGGTTGGGCCGAGGACGTTGACGTCGTCCTGGAAGTTGGGGGCGACCTCCATTTCGGCCTGCAGGATGAAGGCGACATCGTTCTGGAAGACGGCGGGTGAGTCGGTCCATCCTTGAGGGAGGACAGTGAGTCGATAGGTGCCAAGGGGAGTCTGGAAGGTGGTGATGTCGCAGGATTCCTCGGCGAGCGCACAATGGTCGAAGCCGACGAAAAGATCCATCATGGAGTAGATGGCGCGCCCAGCGCACTGCTCTGCAAAGAGCTCGACGTAAGGCATCGTGGCGGCGTCCTTCACGGTGCACATACTGCAGTCACTTTACCCTTGATAGAAACAGACAGCCGAGGTTGAAATATCCCTGTTCTACACAGGCCAGCGGATGTGGGCCGATGAATGTATTGTTCTGTTAAATACAGGTGGGCCGACACCAAGTATTTATCTGATACAATCAATGGGCCCATGGTGTGTGGTATAGTAGATAAGTGTAGACATTCTATTGACTTTGGTAGATAGTGTATGGTAGGTATTGTATGAAATATGTACCTGATATGAACGGGTCGGCCGGTCGGGAGTGTGTATCTGATACCAACGGGTCGGCCGGTCAAAGAGTGTAGTATGTAGTGTAGTAGATAAGTGTAGACTTTTCTATTAACCTTGACAGGTAGTGTAAACAGTATGTACCTGATTTGAACGGGTGGGCCGAATGGGCAGTTGTGCCGATATGTACAGATGGGCCGAGGTGGTATAGATCATGCCCCGGACCCCCTCGGTAAAAAGATGCTTGGTAACATAGCCCCTCGGTCAAAAGATGCTCGGTGACATACCCCCTCGGTAAAAAGATGCTCGGTGGTATATCAAGAATATGTCGGTCAGTCAACATGTTGAGATTGAGTACATATCATCCGCAACATACTTGCAAAGTCAAATCACAGTGAAATCGGTCGGTCGGTCAGATCACAGTCGGTCAAGACAATCGGTCAACATACAATCGGTAAAAATACACTCGGTGACAAAATACATTTGGTCTTGCAAAGTGAAATCACCAGTCGGTGAAATCGGTCGGTCGGTCAGATCACAGTCGGTCAAGACAATCGGTGTACCAAACATTCTTTCTCTGGCCTCACAATTGATGTTTTACTTACTTTATGTTGGTACTCTTACTGCTGACATAATCCAATGAAGTTTTGACCTAGTACCAGTATCAGTCTGAAAGTCCCCTGTCCTTTTGTCTTGTTTCCTTGTCTGTTTCTCTCTCCTTGAGCACTGAGCCTAGAGCAGAGACCCTTTAGGGTCGAACTAGCCTAGGCCAGCAAGACCCAACATATTCTCTACAGCCTGTGGAGAAGTTGTCTGCACAACTGGAGCCCACCGCGAGGGTTTCTTGTTTTCTGGGCTCTGGTGCTCACCAATAACCTCCTAAAACCTATCACAGTCATTCCTTGATCAGTTTCTCCCAATTCCCCCCTGTTTTCAGCATCTCCTCCTCCTACCACCGCACTGATAGGCCATTTTCCCACGCGCTTTTCGACCGGATCTCTCGCAAATCCAGGGTCATATTCCCCTCATTCAGGCCGTCATTTTGAGTCCTGGGTCATCCCATTTGGAGCAGTAGTTGTGGAGATACCGGGTTTTCGTGTTTTTGAGAGGTTGAGGGGCAGATAGCTTATCTTGGGAGATCTAAGGCCTTTCCATTTTATCGGTTTGGGCAGTCCATTACTCCTCAGTGGCCCTTTCCATCGCCCTATTGATCCCCTTGATCCGACTAGCCATTCCCTCTCTGCTGTCTACCCCATCCTCATACCCCCTCATCGCCCCTATACGCGTTTTCCCTACTTCACCAGCCCAATTCTCACCGGAACCCCATGGACCCTAGACCCGTTTTGAAGCCCTCGTCAGCGCCGACCTATCCACCGCATCCATTTCCCGATCCGTCCGCCCCTTCACTTGCAATCCGCATTTTCGTGCTTTTCCCCCCTTTTTCCCCATTTTCCTCATAACTCGCCCATCTCTTGTCAGATCCCAGTGACCCAGGACCCGTTTTGAAGCTCTCATTCGCATCTATACATCCACCTTTCCCCCAGTTGGTATGCCTCTTCCAGTGAGTTGAAGGGTAGGACTGGGGATAGTCATGATTTATAGTTACCATGGGACTCACCCAGGACTTTTTAGTTTGTTTTTCTACCTCTCATTGCAGCTTTACATCCACCCTTCCCCCCAGTTGGTATCTTCTTGGAGCTTGGTATGACTGGGGACAGTCATGATTTATAGTTACCATGGGATGTACCAAACATTCTTTCTCTGGCCTCACAATTGATGTTTTACTTACTTTATGTTGGTACTCTTACTGCTGACATAATCCAATGAAGTTTTGACCTAGTACCAGTATCAGTCTGAAAGTCCCCTGTCCTTTTGTCTTGTTTCCTTGTCTGTTTCTCTCTCCTTGAGCACTGAGCCTAGAGCAGAGACCCTTTAGGGTCGAACTAGCCTAGGCCAGCAAGACCCAACATATTCTCTACAGCCTGTGGAGAAGTTGTCTGCACATCGGTCAACATACAATCGGTAAAAATACACTCGGTGACAAAATACATTCGGTCTTGCAAAGTGAAATCACCAGTCGGTGAAATCGGTCGGTCGGTCAGATCACAGTCGGTGAAGACAATCGGTCAACATACAATCGGTAAAAATACACTCGGTGACAAAATACATTCGGTCTTGCAAAGTGAAATCACCAGTCGGTGAAATCGGTCGGTCGGTCAGATCACAGTCGGTCAAAAGACAATCGGTAAAAATACAATCGGTCATGCAGAGAAATACTGACACTTAGCGCACAAAGGTAACACTAGCCGTAACCATTTCATTCCAAAGTGATATATACAGGCGTTATTTTCGCCGACCGACACATTCTATAGTACAAGTAGGTATTGTATGTAGATTGGTACATAATTAGGGCAGGGAGCGCGCAGCAGAAACAGGTGAAGAAGATGAAACATCTGCACCAGCTTGACCAGGAACAGATGAAGAACCGGCAATGGTTGACTCCATTTCAGCCTGTCCAGATGTGAAGGTGCCGCCCTGCATGTCAGGACGACCGACCATGGCAGACGCCGATGACTGGCCGGTAGGAGGAACCGAAGGGCCGAACACACTGGGGAGGTACCTCCTCCCCAATTGGCTGGCGGTGGAACCACCGATGTGGCTCATCCTCGGCGGTGGGAATACGTGGTTCATGGCGACCCGCTCCTGCCGAACTTGCTCAACCATGCCGGACAGTCCTCGCACAG